GGTCGGGCCTCAATGTGGCCACGTGGAATCTCTCGAATTACACTAAAATATATGGGGGAGCGTTCTATACTACGGCCAGTCAACCGGCAGAGGAATTAGGCGAAGCTTACTTACCTATATCCAAGGCGACTGGTCCCTCCGGAGTCGGTCAGGTCACATGTGGTTGTGTAGTGAAAGGAAAATAAGTGATGTGATGTGTATCTGGGTGTGACTGATGGTGATTGAACCTAGACCTTGGCCGTCGGTAGCAGCCCGAGCGTCGACACCGCTTCAACTTGAGGGGGCCCTCCGAGGCGTCCACAGTCACTTTCCTCTTTCTTCACGATGACAGTCAATTAACTCTATCGTACGATTTACTAACTTACAGAAGCCACTAACTATCGCTGGTTATAAGGTTAACACACAAAACGCACACGGAGTTTACAGTTTATTAAAGGTCACTACCGCTTCGCGTTGCAACAGTTATTTCTAGAATATCAGAGGCCGCACTAGCTAATATTGTCGAATGCACTTATACAGATTCTGAGTCGGTCCCGGGAAGCTCTCCAGCAGGAATGCGCGTCACAAATCCTAGACCGTATATTTACGGGCCGCACCTAATTATTCCGAGTTCCCTAACAGAATGGACCGCGTGCTCACGTCAGCACCGATTAAAGACGACTGACAGCCCTTGGGCGTTTTACGCACGACCGAATGTCAAACCGGTATGACACTGAGCCGCACGCCCTCTCGCGTTCGTTCCTTGAAAGTGTTTGGCGCGAACAGTTAGTGTTTACTGTCCCCCTAATTCATCAATTAATTATAATAAATCCAAATTAGATAATTTAATCCAAAGTTTGCCACAGCCAGTCTTTATAGCTGGTGATTTCAACGCCCATCACACGTTATGGGGATGTACTGAATTAGATTCACGAGGTAGGGACGTTCTTGCAAGTATAGATGACAACAATCTTGAATGATGGTCAGATGACTACAGTAGGATCTCATAGATGGAGGCAGAATGCATTAGACTTGACACTTGTTTCATCTTCACTGGCTCTGTCTTGTGAGTGGCAAGTATGTGATGATGATTCTCTAGGCAGCTATCATTTTCCTGTAAAGACAAACATTACGGTTAATAGTCAAAATTTTCAAGAAACAGCTGTATCAAATACCATAAACTTAAAATTGGTAGATTGGTCAAAATATACAAATTTAATAGATAATTTAATTAAAAATTATAGTTTTGATTATAGTAATCCTTTACAATGTTATACAGACTTAATAGAACTAGTTAAACAAGCCATGCATGAATCCACACCATCCAATCAGTTTTCTAATTGAAATGTTAACATCAACTTGCAATCTTTTAAAAGAATTAGAAAGAAAAATTCTCTACCTTGGTGGAATTTAAAATGCAAACAGGCAGTATTAAATTGTAAAAATGCATATTTAGTATTTAAGAATGATCCCACAGAACGAAATTATATTAATTTTAAAAGACTACAAGCTGTTAAAAAAATTACTTTGAAGACTGAAAGACATCTTAGCTGGAAAAAACTATGTGAAACTTTTAATAGATCTACTCCATTGACTAGAGTATGGAACTACATTAAAAAGTTTAACAAAACTTTTATTCATAATAACACATCTGTCATAGATTCTAATTGGGCTAATGAAATTTTGAAAAAATATACTCCAGAAACAGATGAATCACCTCTAACCCCTAACTCCTCAAATGATAATCATTGTGATTATCTTACCAAACCTTTTACCTTGACCGAATTCAACTCAGCTGTTAACTCTAGAAAAGACACTACTTGTGGTTTAGATTCTGTTCCATATAAAGCTTTAAAAAATATGAATACTGTGTGTAGAGAACTAGTTTTGAAAATATATAATATGTTATGGTTTCATTCACTTATTCCTAACGATTGGAAAGAAGATTGTTTGATACCCATTTTAAAGCCTGGAAAAAAACCTCACATTGCAGAATCTTACAGACCTATAGCACTTACATCTTGTATGGGTAAAATAATTGAGCAACTTATAAAATCTAGATTAGAATTTTATCTAGAAAAAAATTGTCTTTTACCATCAAATCAGTTTGGATTCAGACGCCGTAAGTCATCTAGAGAAAGTATTGCATTTCTACATTTAGACATTTTTAAAGCTATGGAAAATAATGAAATATTAATTAGTATATTCTTTGACATTGTTGGTGCATTTAATAACGTCAATCTTCATGTACTCGCCGCAGAGTTGAGGTCTTTGGCCATTCCTGAAAAAATTGTAAAATGGATATTTAACTTTTTACATGAAAGAAGAGTTTTTGCCAAAGTTAATAATAATAATACAATTATTGGTCCTAGGCTCAGTTATAAAGGTGTTTGTCAAGGAGGAATATTAAGTCCTCTTATCTTTATTTTATACATATTTAAATTAAACAATTTTTTAGAATCAAATGTTACTAATAATTTATCTTGGACCAAATACGTGAATTCTATTACAGACAGAGCTTCTAAGGCCTTTAATGTATTAAAAGCTTTGGCTAGTACTAACTGGGGAGCTGATCCAGAAATATTATTAATGTTATATAAGTCTTTGGTAAGAAGCCATTTTGAGTATGGCTTCCTTTGTTTTGTATCAAATAAAAAACTAGTAAATAAATTAGATAATATACAAAATAAGAATTTAAGACTTATTACCGGCTCTATGAGAACAACTCCTATTGTTTCTTTACAGGCTGAATGTCATACTCCTCCTATATTACTTAGGTTTAAATATCTGAAATTTAGGTTTTTATTAAATATCAATTCTTTGTCACATCATCCTCTTTTTCAAAAAGTATTATTTTACTATAATAGTATGTCTTCTATATCTAACTCAGCCCCATATATACTCCATGACTTTCATGAAGTGATACGATATGATGAACAATATAATATTCAAAAAAGCACACATACTTGGCCTTGTTATAAGGGGAATTATGAAAGTAAATTCAGTGATATACACATAAATATTGATAAAAAATTGAAAAGAAAAGAAGAGGTTTATGAGCATGACACATATAGCATGAGTGTCTTGAAGGCACTGAAGGCAAGAGCTTTAGATGCTAAAACGTCTTTCATCATATATGAAATCAAAAGTTTGTGGTGGAAATTGAAAGAAAATAATTTGGAAGTAAAATTTTTATGGACTCCGTCACATATTGGGGTTCAAGGAAATGAAAGAGCAGACCATTTAGCTAAAAGTATAGTTACAGCTGATATTGAAAGGATAACTGATGTTACAATACCACATACAGATTTATATTCAATTTTAAAGAAACAGTTAAAAGAAGAATGGAAAATGCAACGGAATGCTGTTTTAGAGGCAGGAAAAGGTCGTTGGTATGCATCAATTAATTCAGAATTAAGTATTCCTTGGTTTTCTCGCAACGAGAGATATCATAGCAGAAAATTTTATACAATAATGTGCAGACTTAGATTTGGCCACTATCGACTGAACGCTCATCTTTCCAGGATGAGAATAGTAGCATCTGCAACATGCAATTTCTGCGATACAAAAGCAGATCAGACTGCAGAACATATAATATTTAACTGCCCAGGGTACGCCATTGAAAGATTGCTACTCATTGAAAAACTTATGCAAGTTTATGAAAACTCAGAAAGCGTCCCGCGTGCCCTGCAAGATGTTCTTAGGAATACTAAGACATATTTAGCACTTTGCAATTTTATTCATAATACTGTAAAAGAAATATGAAATATGGTATCCCTGTTCTTGAAAATATTGTATTGACAAATCTACACGGATTGAAACCTACAAATGATATAATATAATATAAAGAAGACCATACATTAAAGTAGGGACTAACACAGCATTATGAATTGCCATACGTGCCTTAGTTGACACATTCTGATTCCTCATAATAGCGTGTAGAGCCCCATTCACTCTATTTCCTGCATTTACTCGTCGTTCTATATCCTTATCATATCTACCATCCCTGCTAAATACACATCCCAAATATACAAACTCATCCACTTGCTCAATCAACTCCCCTTCTATTCTTATTTCACATAAAGTTTTACTTTCTTCTCTTTCAAAAACCATCACTTTCGTCTTACTTGCGTTCACTTTCATACCCCTTTCTTTCAATGACCAATTCATTAATTAATGTATGGTAGTGAAAGTTGGGTCTGGCAGAAGAAGCATGAGAGTAGAATTAATGCTGTAGAAATGCGTTCCTTAAGGAGTATGCTAGGGCTGAATCTGAATGACAGGGTGAGAAATAGTGTGATAAGAGAAAAGTGTGGTTTGCGAGATGACGTTGCGACAAGGATTAAGAAAGGAATGCTTCGGTGGTTTGGTCATGTAGAAAGAATGAACGAGGAAAGAGTGACAAAGCAAATTTATGTTGCAGAAGTGAACGGCAGGGTCGGGAAGGGACGCCCTAGACGAAGGTTTATCGACCAAATCGGCGATACATTAAAAATGGGCCAGATTAGGAGTACCCTTAACCGACGAACGTGTATGCGTAGATATATGGATGTAAAAGAGGCGAGATAGGTGTGTCAGGATCGCGCCAAATGGAAGTCCGTAGTCTCTGCCTACCCCTTTGGGTGACAGGCGTGAGTGTTTATGTATGTATGTATGTATGTATGTATAAAGAAGACTTGGCTTTAGCCTTTACGGGTTTTTGAAAATATGAAGAATTAAAGAAAAGACTTGACTTCGGCCTTTATGGATTTTGAAGAGATAGAAAGAAGAAAAATAAGACTTGGTTCCGGCCTTTACACTTTAACATTTTATATATTCAAAATAAAAAAGACAAGGCTGTATGGCTTAGTTCCTTTGCCTGCTCTCTCGAGCAAATAATAAAAACAACAACAACACTTTGTTGTTTGTTTATTTTATTAGTGTTCTGCGATTTTATTTATCAAATCATCAAAGCAACCGATGAACCGCGAGGCTGCTATGTTTCCAATGTGCTACAGTATCCATAATAAAGCTATTAAATAATGACTGCCAATAAAAAATACAAATGTGTTAATTGTGGAGAACCATGTTCTGCATTGTACAGAACTTACGGACCATCGGTTTTAAAACTTACAAAATGTGTATGTATTACAAAAATGTACACTCTTGCCAACCTAAATATGTTTATATCAAAATCAATATATTTCAAAATATGTATATACAATTGAACCTAAACGTCTTCAGAGATGATAAAGTAATATAATGCATTTTCTTTATAGATATTACTCTTCAAAGCCCTTTTTGTTTTTCAACCGACTTCAGAAAGGACATTAACAATTCGTCGGAATCTTTTTTTTTATGTATGTATGTACACAGATTACTCAAAGATGCCTGAACCGATTTGGAAGTTTCTTTTCTGTTTCAAAGGGTATACTTCTCAGGTGGTCCCATTTAAATGTTATCGTAATTGGTCAAGCGGTTTTTAAAAAATAAACAACTTATTATATTTATATTGAAGTCAGTTGTACAAAATTTTTAATTTTCCACTTGTATAGGTTGAAATTGTATTTATATTAGGGAAAGGTATTTTTGTTTTCTTTTTAAATGGTTTACTTTCTTTATATTTGGTCACTTTTGGTGCACTAGGTTTTTATAGCAAATAGTGCCTTAGTTTTGTATTTTATATTGATTTATAGCAAGCGATGAAATGCCTCGTTTTGAGTAAAAATGCTCTCCGGTTCTCTACACTTGCCATACTAAACACAGTAGTATTAAGCTGCTATTACATGCTGGTATTCTGTGAAAATGTGGTTCTTACTCAGTTGAGCCGACTAATTTGTGCTACAACCATAATGTAGCTGTAATATGACTACAATGTTTAAGATATTTCAATAATTTAAAAAGAAATATATTTTAATTTCCAGGTTGGCTGCAAGGGCATAGTAGACAAATATATAGAATATGATCCTGTCATAGTAATGATTGATCTTGTCCTTATGTCCAAAGAAGCTCAGAGGCATATCTTATACAACACTGATTTTAAGGTAACTTAAGTCAAATTAAGTCCCAACTTAATCATAATATTTCAAACTCAAACTGATGTGAGTGTATGTGAGAGGCTGTGTTGGGTGTGGGTGTTTAGGTGTGTGTGTCTGTATGTTTGTCTGTGATGGATTAAAATATTCATTCGTTTAGGTATGCATCAGTAGGCTTGCTGTGTACGCATCGGTGAGATTGTATCAAATGGATTACATTTGTGGCTTATTCACTCCGCAGCAATTGGACTGCTGATACAGCAACCATTTTCAATCAAATTTTTCTAAGTAATATTTTGAGTTTCATAGATGCCGTTTCAGAAAATGCAGAAATTGTGTGTGTGCAAACAAAAATAAAAAACTGGCCAAGTGTGTCTGACAACGCACAATGTAGAGATAGATTTCTGTAGTTGGCCGTCACAATACGTGGGCATTCTTAATAATGAGTATAAAAAGTGAATTCACGGTTTGATCGCTATAACAATTAAAAATGGGTCCAAATGTGAAGATCATAACTAAAGAATTTATATTCAAATCAGACTTATAGGAAGTATACAAAAAAAAAATTAAAAACAACTTTTCGATTTTGAAAATAATACAATTTTCATCAAATCATTCACATGCCAAAGTATAAAGATGATCATAGTTGACTATCTATCTATATATTAGCGGCAGTGCAACCCTAAGATATACATATTATGTGACTGTAACAAACCTTCATGTAAACCACCACTGCCCTAAATTATCCTGAGGTCACCCACGTAAACCAAGAGTGTAACAAATGAAACTGTGTGAGGCTATATGATTGTATGGATACTTTGAATGAAGCGCACAATAACTATCAAATAAAAAATAAGTGAAAGTAGTAAGTAAGTAAGAAAGATCCTCCCTGCCTATCTCGCAAATGAAAAAGTAAAGCTATAGTAGTAATACGAATATAATAAAATATAGTTCCTTCACATAAGATCTTTATTTTTAACAGTTTACAATGTTATAATACAGCTAGTTTTAGGTAATTTTCTATGGAGTTATAATTAAATTTTTACTAATCCAAGTGTATTTTATAAGTTGGTTGACTATTACACGTTAACTTCTTAACTTTACTTAGCTGTGATTGTTTTCCTTTGACCTTCGAATAGATGATGTACCAGACCCCCAGTGTTTTTGAAAGACCTATCCAAGGATCCACATGATAGTAAATAGGTAGTAACAAAACATCCTCCATTTACTTGTATGGGAAGTACCTAAAATATGTGTTTTTTAAAATTTAATTTCACAGTTTTCTAGGTGTGATTAATATCTATAACTATGCCGAATTATAGATTTGTAGCACTTACGGTATCTCATGTGACATGTCATTTTAATTAATTTATTAATTCATTACAGCCTATCAAACTTTTTGTGGTAGGGAAAAGTTTGCCGTGCTGCTCCAATACATGTACCTCACATTTACTCAAAATATTCTCCCAGTTCAGGACGTTTACCCAGTGATGACTTTACTACTGAGCTCAATAAGCAGTAGATCTGTGATTGACAATGTCATTAGTGCCGGCGAAGGTCAAACTCTGGTTGCTTCATTCCCATCATCAGTCTGCAAAAGTTCACTATAGGACACTTTTGACAGTGCTTCTCGTTGCCAGTCTGGGTAAGTTATGTCTTATCAGTAGTAATGAGATCTTTCCTGATTGCTTGCATACTTAAAATTTAACAGACATCCAGTCCCTGAGCTACCAAGTTCCATCGTAAGAATCCTATTAATTTCAACTTTCAGGCATTCTGGAAATTGTTCATAATACTTGTGATGCTGGAGACATACGCTGTGTGGCGCAGTGACAGTTTATTTTCGATAGCCGTCAACACAATCTGTGATATTAAAAGTAACTACACAATCAATTCAACTAATATGTAAGTAACTGATCAATGATTTAAGTCACACATAATATGGTGTAAATAGTTACCCCTGAATACAGGCTTAGTAAGACGAGTTGTGTATTTAAGTTCATATTCCAGACACTACAGATATCTGAGATTATATAAGAATGTTAAGACTTGATTTTAATGTACTAGATAGCCCATCCTAGAATATAATAGGCCCATTCTATTCCTCATATCCCACTAAATAGTCTATCTAAAGTCCCCAGCTGAACAAAGTCCTGTCCGATAGGTTGCCACTTAGGTGTTGAGTAGTGGATTCTCCTAAGCCGCCACTACACGGCAAACGGCTTGTTTGCATCATTTGCAACTAATAGTAGAGATATGTTCGCGATTTAGAAGATGTTTTCTTCCTCGCACGACTTCCTTGTGGAATCGATTACCATCAGTGATTTTTCCGGACCGATACGACTTAGGGACCTTCAAGAAAAGAGCGTACTCCTTTTTAAAAGGCCGGCAACGCATCTGCTATTCCCTCCCTGGTGTTGCAGTTGTTCATGGGCGGCGATAGTCACTTACATCAGGTGAGCCGCATGCTCGTTAGCCCCCTCTCCTATAAAAAAAAATATCAACTGTAAATGTTAGGATTCATAATTTAAAATTTTGTATAGCCGACTTCAATATAAGTTATTAAGAATAACTCAAAAACTGTTGGTCTGACCTTAATCAAATTCATATGGGACCACACGAGAAGTATCAGCTATATATATAAGAATCATATATATAGCTATGAAAAAAGAAAAAAGAATATATAAATCGATTATATATATAAAAAAAGAATCATAGAAATCGATTCACCCAGTAAAATGTTATGAGGTAACACACATAAAAGACCTTGAAAATTTTATAATTATCCCATTAAAAATAGAGGTGGAGGGAGGTGCGATTTTTAACGTGCTAGAGCCATGCTGCAGCTAAGTTGTGGTTGTAGCACGAATGGGTCGCTTTGATAGGGGACAAACCACTCTTTCACAGAATGCCAGCGTCAAATAGCATCATAATCATGTGTTTTGTATGGTGAGTTTAAAAAACCGGAGACTCTTTTTACTGGTAAGGATTCATTATATTTTCATCCTCAGGGGTGACAAAGCACTCAGGTAAGCTCAGACATAGGTATATGGGCCACAGCATTCACTTACGATCGGGTGGACTATGCTCGTTTGTTTGTATAAAAAAAAGGTGAACGTATTTTAATACGCATTAATATTATGATGTCGTATTGAATATTATCTTATTAACATTCAATCTTGTATGATTTCAGAAACCTTCCAATAAATTTGTCAGTCCCAGAGTCATGGCGGAACAATTGTGGAGGTTGGGTTCAAGATGACAGAGGCGATGACAGTGATTTATTCATTTGGGAAAAAGATTTTTATGTTCAATTTATATCGACGTTTTCCGGTAAGTGTTTAAGGTGTCTACTCGAAACTCACCGTAGTAGTGGCGGTGTAAGAATATTCACTACCACATATCCTCCCGTGGGTGTCGTAAGAGGCGACAGATATGGAAAAGGACATGTGAAATTTATACCGATGTTCTCCGTTAAGATTTTAGGTTTGAATATTCCTCTCTGGTTGTGTAGTGGCGGTGTAAGAATATCCACTTCCCCCTATCGACCCGTGGGTGTTATAAAAGGCGACAGAGGGAAACAAACTAGGAGATGGCAGCAGCGTTTTAATAACAAAAAAAAACTGTGGTTCCCAATGACCCTATGGGAGGTCTTTTTTTATAGGATAGGGTGACAAACGAGCACACAGTCCACCTGATGGTAAGTGGTTACTGTGGCCCATAGACATCCACATCTATCCTCGATTACGAATCAAAATGCAGATGCGTTGTCACCCGTAAGGACTAAGATTGAATGCCTCTTTTCCAGTAAAAAGGGTCTCCGGTTCTTTACACTCACCATACGAAACACAGGAGTGTTAAGCTGCTATTTCACGCTGGTATTCTGTGAGAGCGTGGTCCTTCCCCGGTCGAGCCGACCCATTCGTGCTACAACTATACTACAAATATAGCTGCAGCATGGCTCTACCACGTAAGGCCTATGTTCAACCGGGAATTTTTGATAAGCTGTAACGGTAACTGCTCTTTACCATCCAGTGGTAGAAAAGAGTTACCGTAGTATTTCAGTTACGATTTTGACGCGCGGGCATTGATAAAAATAAATTAAAAATGTCATGAAATACTGTAACTGTTACTGTACTGCAATATACGGGATTTTTGAAATACCTTATACGTATTAATCGAGATAAAAAAATGTAATATAATTGCCGGAAAAAAACTGACATTCGACTGACTGACTGACTAATTTCAAACAGGAGGAGGTACTCAATTCGACTGTATGTTTTTTTTATGTGCGTTACCTCGTAACTTCTTTCTGGGTGAACCGATTTCGATGATTCTTTTTTCATTTGAAAACTGGTGCTTCCATGTGGTCCCATATAAATTTGATCAAGGTCTGACCAATAGTTTTGAGTTATTCTTAATAATTTCGTTTAATATTTTAGTTAAATTATTAATTTAGATTGAAGTCGGTTGTACAAAATTTTTATTAATTTTAAATTATTGTCTTTATTCGAAACATTGCGCAGATGGCTAGTCTCCTTTGGGAGTGCCCGCCGTGACCGAAATTCGGTCTGGAGGACATGATTGGTGTATCATTTTAAATTAAAATGTATATGCGTAAATGGCGTTAACAATAAATAAACATTGATATTTAACTGAAAATTTAAAAAAAAAAATTTTGTCCGTAAAATATGCAAGTAAATATCGATATTTAACTGAAATTTGAAAAAAAAAATGTTGTCCCTAAAATATGCTTGGTATTATAGAAAATGCAACTTAAAAGCTCATGTCAGTCAAATCCAATAACCCAAAAAAGGCAAGTGCTGAGCAAATGCGTTAGATACGGCAACGTCCAAAAATAATGAAAAAAGAATAATGAGTAACGAGGCAATCCAAGATTTTTTAAGAATGACAGCGTTTTTTTATCTGTAATGCCAAAAAGGTCTCATGGCTTCCGATAGCTCCGATAGAGACATGCGGCAACGTATTGGTTGCTTATGTAATTTTTTAAGGTGACGAACACTCAGTACACCTGATGGTAAATGGGCGCTATGGTCATATAGGCGCTATGGCCATATACTCCTTGGTTATGGATAAAATGTAGATGCGTTGTCACTCCTAAGAAAAAATATGGATTGCCTCGTGTCCAGTAATTTTTTTTTTAAATAGTTGTGGTTTACAAAACCAAAATTGCGAATGGAATACAATTTCAAGTTGGGAATAGTCATTTGCGTTTGTTTCAATTTTTAGATTTTACTAAAAATAAAGACAACGGAATGCGCGATTTATAAATAGAAGTTAATTAGAAATTTATTCAGTGGTAGATTGTTTTTAGTGTGTCATTTGATAGATGATTCAACTCTTATGTTCCATTATTATTAAATTGTTTTAGATTGTTGACGACATTTTTATGTGTTTTGTAAACGATGGTTTCTTTTGTTATAACTTCTAATTCGTACTGATTAATTTATCCGGTTCTCTACACTCACTATATAAAGCAGCAGCATTAAGCTGCTATTTTACGTTGGTATCAATGTCTGGTAATGTGAGCATCAATTCACCTGCCAAGCGTGTTAATACAGCAAATTCTCACTGCAACAATAAGACTGCAGGATGATAAAAATGAAATATTAAATGTGCGTGTCCATCTTGTATCATTTTGTCATATGTCAAGATGGCCGTTCGACGTTGCTGAGAAATATTGCTTTTATTTAAACAGTTTTGTGCGCGCAAGCAACTTTTGAATGAAGGAAGAATTCGAAGTCGTTGAACGAAGAAAGAATTGGAAGCCGTTGAACGACAAGAGAATGCTTCGAGATCCGTTCCTGAAATGTCGCTAGTGCAATGTCCATAGACAATCTGGGTCGTAATCGGGTTGCCAGTATTTGAAAATTTAAAACACGACAGCATGCCTATAGTATTTTTTTTATCTATCATTTACCATTTTGTTTATTACAGGTATCGTGATATTCATCACCACGGTCCATGTCCTCATGAAAGTGCTGCAGTCGCTTGCAACTCATAATAGAGGTATGTTCACATATCGACTAGTAGTGTTCAGTTGAAACGAAATAGTTGTTTCTTTTTTTTTACTATATATGGTGGTGCTGCGCTGCAGCTGTATTATGGTAGTAGAGATCAGGCTGGTGCAACTTCCATAGTAAAAATTATATGTACTACAGGGGTCAAATTTTAATGACGGTTACTCTTCTTTATGCTTTTCGTGATATGTCTATTAACGACATTGTCAAATGAAATAGGTTCAAATGTCAAATCAAACAATTATATTTGTATATATTTTATTAATTAAGATTGCTTTTAATTTTGCTATAGGAGCCGTTGTTCATTTACAGAATTGTTAAGAAATTAAATATGCATTATAAAACTTTCCAATTAAACGGTGCAAGAAGCGGAAAAAATGATAACAAGAAAAGGCTATTCGTAACAATATTTCCTTTAGATGATGAAAGGTATGTGGTGATTTCGACTTTAATAGTAATATGATATTCAACGCGAGTATATTTTTGGACCATCTATGTAGGACATGTTTTTATAGTGTACGATTGTGTGCAAAAATACAAACACACTATTTCCTAAATCTGATAGTTCGATGGTTTGGCAATCCGAAACGAACTATACTTAGAAACTACAAGTCAATTTTGACTGTTAACATTCTATTTGTTCAATAATAATGTGATTTTATTTATATTATTTTTTCATATGCACGCAATGGGTGAAATAGCTGGCACATGCACCAATTGAAAAGATTCACATGTTAAAACATATTTGTGACAAACATTGCATATGAACCCAACTAAAACGAACTGTTATTTCTTTAGTGGTCTTACTTTAAACTTCCACAATTTATGTGTATGTTAATTAGGTTTCATTTACATGTAGCAAAATATAATATCCCTCTAAAGTCACATTTTGGCAAGAATTAGATTATATAACTAAATCATTATTTTATTCATCAATAAACATTAGCTATGATGAGCACTTATTTTGAAAGCGACAATTAGTAAACGATCTCTGCGAATAGTATGTACATAGGTGCCTCTGTGAAGAAGCCTAGCGATTTGTACATAGTTTTTGTTACACATAAAAGCAATTTAATCCAATCAGTATTAAAAACCCAATATTTTTACCCTTAAAAAAACTAAAGTTGAAAACAAGCATCCAGATGCAGACTATTTATTTTACAGCATAGCAACAATTGTTCAGTGCGGGAAGGAAGCCTCGGTCCTGCAATGCCGCAGCCAAACGCTTAGCCACTGCGCTACAGAGTTGTCATTTATTTTTTACTTAATTAATTACTAGTATAAAAGTTTTTTATTTTATATTTTCTTTATACATACTTTTGTACCTAATTGTAGAGATATAAATACAAATTGCTGTGTGTAAAATACATTGATTTCTTATCCTCATCGGCATTTTTACTCAATCCAGACGTTAAAAATTTTATTTCTCATAAATAATTCACTATAGAGATCTAACTTTTCTTATGTAAAAATATCGATAAACAATGTATCGATAAACGTTTTATCGATAAAATTATCAAGGATAGACATTTACAGCACTATTGTAATTCGTCAATGTTGTCAGCACTGTTTCTCAAAACTAAATGTCATATCTTGATGTTGGTAGAGTAACTTGGCGTAATTTCATGCAATTATTTTTATGATTTTTACTATGGAAGTCCCGCCTCTTAAACATAGTGATTATATTCTCTTTGGTAGAGATCGTCTAATTTAAAAATGAACGCTTCCCTTGTGTTTTTGGTAGATTCAACACGCCTCGGTGCAGCGCGGCAGACATATCCTTGCCCCAAAACCGGCGCGTGCCCAGCAGTTTAATGTATGTAGGCTGTAACTTTACATTACCAAGCTATTTATGACATTTCTGGGTTTCTTGCTAGTTTTTCCCAGGACAAAGAGGTATTTTCCCAACCAGTGTAGCCACATCTATTATACATATTATAATTTATAATCTATATTGAATTAAAAAAAAAACTAATTCTATAGCAATATATCTCAACCTACTCGCAACTGGCTATAATGATGCTCCACGACTTTTTCTGCCACCAGGGCGGCGCCACTAGAAAGTGAGGTATAATATTTGACAGATTTCATAGCGGGGAAGTTAATTTATAAGGAAAATGTAAAAGTTATAGTTTCTATTTGTACTATTACCTATATTTTATATTAATAACATTATATAAATAATCCAAACCACGGATATTCATAAAAGTAGAAAAATTAGAAAAAAACGTTTAAAATGTCCAAAAAATTAAAGAGCAAACCACTGATGCATTGTTTTGTGTATTAAATATAATACTCTAGAAACTGATAAACTTTTATATTAAAAAACAACTTCTCAATTAAATTACATTGTGTAACAACAAACTTTACCACAGTATCGACTAGCGACATCTGATGAGCAGACAATTATTAGCCCTCATTCTAGCCACCGAAGTCTAATTAAGTAGATTGTGCGTAGTTTTAGTTACCGTTTATTAAATACAATGCCTAGACATGTAGTGGCGGTGTAAGAATATCTACTACCCCATATCGTTCCGCGGGTGTCCAAAGAACAGACAGACAGAGAGAAGCTGAACCACGCGATGGGCAGCAATATCTTCCTGATATAAAATATATATAGGATGAGGGTGACAAACGAGCGCACAGTCCACCTGACAGTAAGCGGTTGCTGTAGCCCATAGACATCTACATCTATCCTCGATTACGAATCAAAATGCAGATGCGTCGCTTGGCAAGCGTGCCTTTGGTTTGTGCAGAAAAACCGACCTGTTTCGAAGTGAGACGAGTCGTGACGAGCGATCTCAAGTGGTCGCAAGGCGCGCCAGACGAACCGTATACGCGTTGGCGCTCGCCTGCACTCGGCCAACTAGGCAAGCGACGACTAGCAATGGCGAGGTTAGACAAAAGGAATGTCTATACGTTGGTACTCGCTTTCGCTCGGCCAACATGTATAGCGGGCTTAAAACACGGTCCTGAGTCACTTCCATCCAAAGACTTTCTACATTGGAGGCTCCGTGGTGCAGTGGCTTAGCAATGAGTTGCTGTGCTGGGGGGCGCGGGTTCGAATCCCGCACGGAACAAGTATTTGTATGGCCTACAAATGATTGTTCCGGGTCTGGATGTTTGTCCTTGTGAAATTTGTGTTTGTAAACTGCCTCCACGATACAGGAGAAAATCCTAGTGTGGGGGTAACGTTTTTAAAAAAAGAAATAAATAAAATAAAAAGAAATAAAACATCTTACCATCTAGTGAGGGGCCTAGTGAAGAGATAGGAGTGATTGAAGATTTTTGGGAGACATTTAAGAAAGGGGTCGTAAATGTTGCTATCGAGGTATGCGGGGTAGCTAAAAGAAGGAAAGGAAGAAAGAATGATAACGTGTGGATGGATAAAGATGTACAAAAGGTTGTGCAAGAAAAGAAGAAAGCGTGGTTGGATTGGTTAGCAACAAAAGCTAACCAAAAAGTTCAAAAGGCAACGGATGACGAGATAAAGGAAGCAAGAACGAAGTATAAAAGATTGAAAACAGCAGCGAAAGAAATTGTGTCTAGAAAGAAAGAAGAACGAAAGGATGATTTCGATAGGAGGCTCACTGAAGATTTCCAGTCAAACATTAAGTTTTTCTGGAAAACCATCAAAACAGCCAGAGGAAAAACTTCTACCTCTGAGCTGAGTACAATCAGGAGTCAAGATGGGAGCATTATAAAAGGAGAAGAATGTGTGGTAAAGAGATGGAAAGAGTATTTTGAAAGTTTGTTTGAAAGAGAGGAAGTGCAGGTACAGCATCTGCCACCTTCCACGGAAAATAATATAAATGTTGATGAAAATGAGATAAGCATGGATGAAATAGTGAAAGCGTTGAAAAGTATGAGATTAGGTAAGGCTGCAGGGTATGACAGGATTACCGTCGAGATGCTGAGGGCTGGACAGGGCCTGGTGGCTAGTCAGCTGTACCGCCTTTTCAATCTGTGCTGGCGAAATGGGCAAGTACCGGGAGACTGGTGCAAAGCCGTAATCGTGCCATTATATAAGGGAAAAGGGTCACGGCAGGACTGCATAAATTACCGCGGTATAAGCCTTCTCAGCGTCGTCGGTAAATTGTATGCGAAAGTGTTGATTGAAAGGATTGTGAATGAAACAGACAAGAAAGTATGGGATGCACAAGCGGGATTTAGAAAGGGAATGGGATGTACGGATCAGGTCTTTTCCTTGCGGTGCAAAGCCGAAAAGTATTTGGCTAAAAACAAGAAAGTCTACTGCGCGTTCGTAGATCTAGAAAAGGCCTATGATAGAGTGGTGAGGAATGAATTGTGGTCAGCACTGTCCGTGAACGGTGTGAGCAGTATCCTCATACGAGCAATGCAATCTCTTTATAGGGATTCTAGTGCTTGTGTAAGGATAAACGGGGCATACACTGAATGGTTTAATATCGAAAAAGGTGTTAGACAGGGATGTGTAGCGTCACCGTGGCTGTTTAATCTGTTCATGGACAATTGTTTGACAGATTTAAAAGAGAATGAAAGTGGGTTGAGAATGAATGAGTTACTCGTCAAATGTTTTCTCTATGCTGATGACCAAGTATTACTTGCGTCTTCGGCCGAGGAGTTGCAGGAGATGGTAACTGCTATGAGTGGAGCTTTTGTTAGAAAGGGAATGAAGATGAATGTAAGGAAGACGAAAGTGATGGTGTTTGAAAAAGATGAGGCAGTGACAGACTGCAATATCGTGATTGATGATGAACAAATTGAACAGGTGAAAGAGTTTGTGTATCTGGGTTCAAAGTTTACAAGAGATGGAAAGTGTGAGAGTGATATCGAAAGAAGAGTGAATGCAGGAAACATGGTGAATGGAGCTTTGCACTCCTTTATGAGCAGTCGGAAGGTGTCTAACAAGGCTCGTTTGGCTGTGCATGAGGGGGTGTTGGTTCCGACACTCATGTACGGAAGTGAAACTTGGGTATGGCAGAAGAAACATGAAAGCAGAATAAATGCAGTTGAGATGAGAGCATTAAGAAGTATGATAGGAGTTAAACTGAGTGACAGGCTAAGAAATAGTGAGGTAAGGAAACGTTGTGGTCTGAAAGAAGATGTAGTGACAAAAATTGAGAAAGGTATGCTGAGATGGTTTGGCCATGTCCAGAGAATGAATGAAGAACGATTGACGAAAAAAGTGTATAAGGCGAGTGTGAATGAAAGTGTTGGAAGGGGTAGACCTAGGCGGACATTTCTAGACCAAATCAGGGACGTCTTGAAAAAAGGCCAGGTCAAGAGTACCGTCGTAGAGCATGTATGAAGGGAATAATGAAAGTGGACGAAGCAAAACAAGTATGTAAGGATCGTAGCAAGTGGAAAGAACTGGTCTCTGCCTACCCCTACGGGAAAGAGGCGTGATTATATGTAGTGAGGGGCCAACCTAACACTTCACTTACCGGTACGAGGTTGCCACTCGAGAATCTTTCTTACCCATCTATTGTCAGTTTTTCAGTCACTTCAGCATACTGATACGTTGGGCTATGTCGGTTACTCTGGTTCTGCTGCGGATATCCTTCTAAGTCTATCACGCATAGAAACTCCGAGCATTGCCCTCTAGCTCGCTAAGGACCCCAAGCTTTCTCATACAGCCAGCGGTTTAGGACCATTGTTTATTTCACTTTATTCTAATTTGGGTAGTACGTGTTTGGCGATGGAGGAAAACATCGTGACGTACCCTGCATGTCTAAGGATAAAGTGTGCTGCGAACTACGAGTATCTATAAATCTCTCAGAAATTAGTGAAAGATAGAACTATTTATTTGATACGTTCATTTTAAACAAAGCGGCAAAAATAAGCACGCATCAGTCTTAGACTGTTTATGCATTAACAAATAAGAATCAGTACATCCATGCATCATTAATTAATAATAAAACAAAAAAAAATGTAACATTAAATAGGTCTCCAACTGGGCATAATGCTTGCAAAGGGAGCGCTGCTTTTAGTTGGAACCTTGTAACTTCACTTCAATTACGAGATATTAATAATTACGAGTTAGAATGTTATTAATAATTACAGAGTTGCAGAGTTAGACGTATATAACCTGTAACTTAATTTATTTATTTCTTATTTAGGTAATCAAAACTTTCCAGTGTCGTCGAAGCGGCTGCTACAAGCGTTCTCGTTGGCAAACATGAGTACGTTGTTCGCTTTACCCATGCTGGTGTGGGGCAACGCGGACACTCCGCGTGAAACGAGGCTTGTTCACTACTTATTGGTGTTTGTGTACAGCTTCATCGTCTTCTGTAATGTTTTCACTGGTTAGTAATATTGTATATTAATACGCGATGGGAAAACTTTATCCCCTTTTTAGGTATATACACATAGCGTATGCGTGAAATTCAGCATACCGTGAAACCTGGCAACTTTGGTGACAATACATTCTTCATACACAGTGGACCCCCGGTAATCCGACAAACATTTTGCAGGGCAGTGTCGGACTATCGAATTTGTCGGATTATAGAGTACTGCCTAAGATCCCCTATAGTCCGGAATTTTTTATAAAAGAGTACCTTGTAATCCGACAAATTCCAGATCCAATGATAAGATTCTATATGTTATATATATGTACTCTGAAGTACAAATTATACTTCATTATGTATTTCAAATTTAGTAAATAAAAGAACACAATAGGGAGCTTACATTTTAATATAAAATTAACGTCATTAATGCTATAGAACTTACTAAAAATATCCAATAACTTTACAGTAGGAAATAATTTTGTACAAACAAATGTACATACTAAAACAATCAAAAATTATGAATCAATCAAATTAAGAAGCATGAAAATATTCATCAATCGTGCGTCGAGCACAATAGTGGTGGTGCGTACAAGTTATAATTTGTTCAATCATGCATTTGCGAAGATTGTCATAAAATATCTAATAATAAATAAAAGACCATTTATTGGGGATACCGGATTTGATTACAGGGGGTACCGGATTAGACAGGGGCCGGATTACCAGGGGTCCACTCTATTTGGTATTTATTAGTGACTTAAACAAATACTAACATTAAATAGACAAACTACTAAAAATAAAATTGGCAAAGTTAAGCAAAGTTTACGTGTGTGGCAAAGTAGTCCCCCTAACCCCATTTTTAAGTTTTTTATACAAACTTGAAAATGGTGTCAGGGTTGTCAAAATTCTTAATTACGTACTTTACTTAATTTTTTCATTTAAATCTTGTCAATAATTTCTTGGGCAAAAATCTAAAATATATCAAAAAGAAAATATTTCCCTCTAAAATAGAAAATCAAATTGGTGCAATAATATGCTTAAATCAATTACAGTATAGATCAGTCAGACAGTACAGATCAGATCAGTATAAAAGTGTCGTTCTTTTATTATTCGTCATCATAATTTTATTACGATCAGGTAAAAAAAGATCATTGTAATCAATCTAACTATATTTTTTCCACAATAACAAAACATTCATAATCATTAAAAATTACCATGTTTTAAGTGCAAACTAATATCAACACACTAAGTTGAAATTATGAAAAATACTGAGTAGTAATAAAATTATTAATGCACAACAACGCAGTAAAATAATATCTATAGATTTCCCTTTTCTTTTCCTTCACTTTTGATAAAGTTGAATCGATTGACAACTTATCACGTAGTATGGTAACTTTGCCAACTTAGTTTTATAGATAAATGTTAAGACCAACATGTTAAGAACGATATATTATATTTCCTAAGCAATAATATTACGTTACTACAAAGATATGGATACATTCAGTATTTCAAACAAAATCAACAAAAGCTCTGAAGAACTGAACAAACAGGTCATATTTTTTAACAGTGGTAGAGCCATGCGGCAACTTTTACTGTCACACGGATAGGCCGGCTCGCACCGGGGACCTCACAGAATACCAACGTGAAGTAGACGTTTCCCTCTGCGTCCACATATCTCAGTTTTATGTTATCTATTATATAGTTAAATTATATATTTTTTATATTCGATATCAATGGCTAACACCAAAATATTGCATTGTTTTTGTTCAGGCGTTACTCTAAAAAAATACAAAAGCCTATTTATCTACAAAATTCGTAAATGCATGTAATTAAATGACGATACAATAGTTATGGGATGTATCTAAGTGACCTATATCCGAACGTTAAATGTGAATAGTGTTTATTGGTTTCGGTGCGAGAAGTTATCGAATCCGAGTCGATTTCGCTTTCCGAGACGATTGTGAATAGCCCGGCTGGTTACTTCGCCTACGCGGATCCCAGATGTAGAGGATCATGTACCTTCCCTGTTGGACCTTCCGTTGACCTCTCATCCGGACGGATATCTGGTCTCCGTCGATGCCCCTCTGGACTCTTCGGACCATTGTCTGATCCGGAGTAAGGTGCCACTCACGCTCCCATCGCAGTTGCGAACTGCAGTTTGCCGCCGTGTTTGGTGCTATAGGTCGGCCGATCTGTACGGGATGCGGTCTTTTTTTGCATCCTACCCTTGGGGGCGGGTTTGCTTCTCGCTGGGAGATCCCAGCGTTGTTGCCGATTCTGTTGCTGATGTGGATGGAACTTTTTGTACCATCTCTGTGGTGCCCACCGGAGGCAGATCCCAGTCATGGTTTGGTCGCTCCTGTAAAATAGCATCACGCTATAACCAGGAGTGCTACCAGGCCTGGGCTGACAGATCAACGTCTCGGAATGTAAACACCAGCGCTCTTAAAAAGAAGTATAATTCCGCCTCCAGGTCCTTTAAAGCCATTGCCAAGGCAAGGTCTGGGCACATCGGCAGAATTGACGAGAAGCTAGTGCGCCTTCCTTCGGGAACCCGTGCATTCTGGTCTCTTGCCAAGGCTGTCCAAGGGAACTTCTGTCAGCCATCTCTTCCATCTCTGCACAGAGAGGACGACTCACTGGCCCATGCCACAAAGGAGAAAGCCAATCTGTTGAGCTCTCTTTGCGTCCAACTCGACTCTAGATGACGAGGAGAAGACACCGCCGACCATCCGGCGATGGCCGGATGTGCGGTTTACACAGTGCTCGGTTCGCAAAGCATTCTTCTATCTGGACATCAGCAAGTCGAGTGAGTCTGATGGAGTCCCTCCTATTGTGCTGAAGACGTGTGCTCCGGAGTTGGCACCGGTTTTAACGCGTCTTTTTCGGTACTCCTACTCCCAAGGCGTAGTCCCGAATTCATGGAAAACAGCTTTGGTCCACCCGACCCCTAAAAAAGGCGATCGCTCAAACCCGTCCAACTACAGGCCTATCGCCATCACCTCCTTTTTCTCCAAAATAATGTAATCCATTATAAACTGCCAGCTCATGAGGTACCTTGAGGATCACCAGCTGATTAGTGACCGATAGTACGGGTTTCGTCGGAGTCGATCAGCTGGTGATCGTCTGGTCTACCTAACTCATAGATGGGCGAAGGCAGTAGAGTCCAAGGAGGAGGCATTGACCGTTAGTTTGGACATAGCGATTGGACATTCGATCGGGTTTGGCACAAAGCGCTTCTTTCCTATTGGCTTCTCGAGAAATTGTGCAAATGGATCACCAGTTTCCTTGCTGATCGGAGCATGAAGGTCGTTGTAGACGGTGCATGCTCTGATTTCAAGCCTATCAACGCTGTTGTTCCACAAGGCTGCGTGCTATCACGAACGCTGTTTCTCCTGCATATCAAAGATATGTTGCAAATTGGTAACATTCATTGCTATGCAGACCGACAGCACTGGTGATGCCTTATATACCGGCCGTTCCAATATTTCTCGGGAAAACATCGCTGAGTACCGGGACAAACTTGTGTCTGAAGTCGAGTCTTTGCTTAACAAAGTCTCGGATTGTGGCCGATTATATCTAGTCCAGTTCAATCCCCAGAAGACACAAGTTTGCGCGTTTACCGCTAAAAAGAACCCCTTTGTCGTATCTCCTCAGTTTCTAGGCACTCCCCTTGCTGCCTCAGCTAGTATCGGAATCCTTGGTGTCGACATATCGAATAGTGTGCAGTTTCGTGGTCACTTGGAATCCCTCCCAAATTGGCCTCTAAATAGCTTGGCGTGCTCAGCAGAGCGAGACAGTATTTCATGCCGGCACATCGCTTGCAACTTTACAAAGCGCAAATTCGGTCTCACATGGAATACTGTTCTCATCTCTGGGCCGGGGCACCCCAGTGCCAGCTCCTTCCACTTGACCGCATCCAGCGCAGAGCGGTTCGAATCGTCGACGACTGAGCTCTTTGTGATCGATACACTGGCACTGCGTAGGGATGTTGCATCCCTTTGCATTTTCTCTCGAATTTACTACGGGCAGTGCTCTGAGGAATTGTTCGGATTGATTCGTTACCACCGGCGATTTTTCCAGACCGATATGACTTAGGGACCTTCAAGAAAAGAGCTTACACCTTTCTACAAGGCCGGCATTGCATCTGCAATTCCCCTGGTGTTGCTGTTGTTCATGGGCGGCGGTAGTCATTTACCATCAGGTGAGCCGCATGATCGTTTGCCCCGTCTTCTATAAAAAAAAAAATTTGCCGGCACCATATTGCGTTAAAATAAAGTGACAAAATGAACTCTCATGTTGTAAATATATCGAAAACATTGCTGTCAATAAATTATTGTATTTTCATCTAAAAACAGTGGTATATCTCGAAAAACGTTACGTTTCCGGTGTTAATCGTAATTTTGTACCAGTACACCCCTGATGGCAAAGTTACCTTCCAAAGCCAAAGCGAAAAGTAAACAAAAATACCTTCGAAAAAAATAGTGTTGCCAAGAGTTGATATATCGATAACACAAAATAACTCGTTTTTGTTGGTTTTTTATGCAATAAATTATTTAGGCAAACTCTCTCTACGTTAATAGACCAATGTCCAGTTTAATGTATATTAGTCTATGTTGTCCCACTACTGATACTGAGTAAAGAACGCGGGTATTTCGTTTTTTTTTTATAGGATAGGGTAACAAACGAGCACACAGTCCACCTGATGGTAAGTGGTTGCTGTGACCCATAGATATGAGTGTAGAGAACCGGAGACCCTTTTTACTGGAAACGGGGCATCCAATCTTAGTCTACACGGGTGATAACGCATCTGCATTTTAATTCGTAATAAAGGATAGATGTAGATGTCTATGAGTCACAGTAACCATTTACCAAACTGGACTGTGTGCTCGTTTGTCACCTATATATCCTATAAAGAAGAAGATCTGTTCTCTGCCTCTTTCGTGTTCGTTCTATTGCTTGATTTTCCTATTATTTCTCGAATGAGTCAAGCTGATCCTCTCCTGGCCTAGGCCACGTCTTGTGGAATCTTTTTAGTAGTAGCTTTAGTCCACATCGCATCTCACACATGACAGATATGTCAGAACTTATCCAATTTTTTTTTATAATAAGGGTGATAAGCGAGCACACAGTCCATCTGTCCCACCCATCCACGATCTATCCTTCATTAAGAAGAATTGCCTCGTTATCAGTAAAAAGGGTCTACAGTTCTCTACACTCGCCGTAAGAAACACTACATTGTTCTGCTATTTCACGTTGGTATTCTGTGAGAGCCTGGTCCCTCCCTGGTCGAGCCGGACTATTCGTGTTACAGCTATAATATAGCCACGTAGCTCTACCTTTTGATAATAGTGGAAAATTAAGGATACAAGATCAATCAATGATAAGATTTTTTTAATTGTTTTCAGTACTGTATGAGAGTCCAATGTTGATAACAATACTGGTGCTCATAGCTAGCTACAGCGTGAAGCATTACACAACGTTCCACATGACGCCGTTTTTAAGGGGATTTGTGACATAATAAAATATTTTTTTCATATCACAGAGTATTTATTTAAAAAATATAGCTATCTGTTTTACAAATAAATTTTTGGTGACATAACATATTCCTTTTATTTCTATATTATACACAATATGTAAGGATGTAGTTACACAAAAAGGACCCAATCTTAAAAAGGAGTAATATATATCAAAATCGTTCAGAAGAGGATTGTGAAGCTGTAAATTTTCATACAAAAAGCGATAATGCCCTCCCCCAAAGAAAATTACAAACTGAATATTGATCGAAAATTCAAATTTAAGAAGTGCAAAGAACTTTTTTGTGAGTTGGATCCACTTTGCACAATTACGTCCATGTAAAGTGAGCCTTGCAGTATATATCTGTACATATTATATACTATTAAAATAGCAACAAATACAATTACATAACGAAACTACCTACCTAATGCCGACAAAGTGCTTGCTACGGAATGCACATTTTGATTTTGAATACTTTATTAAAATATTTACGATGGTGTTTCATCAATTTATTTTGATTTGCTTGCATATAATAATAATAGCATAAAAATCTTAAAAGGCCAGTACACAATGATCAAACTATAGAAGGCAGAGTCCCTTCGACCAGTTCTGTAGTAATTTTCCCGTCTTTAAAATTAATATTTATAATTAAATTATATTGTTGATATATGAATGGTTCTTTATACACATCGTCTGTCCCTATCCTATTATAGGTGAATGTAAACAATCTTTAGCAACTCTTGTTAAGAAATATATTTAAATTATTTCACAAACTTTTTTTCTCTTTATTGATTTTTTGACTTTATCAGCAAAGTGATTATATCTACCCATTTACAGTACACATTACATTATACTTGCAACCTAGAAGATACTAATTTATATGTCGCAGGCTTATGTTAAAATCAGATTTTTGATCAAAAACCTGATTTTATCATAAACCCGAACCTTTTTTGAATCAAAATTTAAACTTAGGTTAGGTGGATTTTATCATAAAAATAAAAAATGTAGGTTTTTGATCAAAATACTGGATTTTATCGGGTGTGTGATAACATAAAGTGGTAATTATTACTTCTTTCGGTTGTAGACTTTTGATCAAAAACCATTTTATCAGACCTGCGACATATATAACAATCTAGCTTCGCCTGGCAAGGACATCCCCAAAATAATATTGCAGTCATCTAATTGCCAAATCAAATGAGGGAAAATACTTCTTATGTTCTGATTTCGGGCACCCTCCATCAGTACAGTAAACATCATGCAAAACTTTTAATAAGAAGTAAAAGCAGACTTCAAAAACTAAAAAAAATCCACATATTGTAGGTTTACCGATTTCTTTAAAACGGCTGAACGGATTTTGATTATTGTTTTGCATGGACGTATAAATTGTTTTGAAATAGGTTATATATTTCATGGGTGATCCATATAAATTTAAAGAAAAATTCCATCCCTAAGTGTGGAAAAATAGGGGTGTTACTATCTATTTAGACGAAAAATGTTCGTAACATACATGAAAAAGTACATACAGTCGAATGTAGAATTTCCTTTTTTTTAGCCGGCTAAAAAAAATTATGATGTTAATTTATACAAAATATTACTTAAGTATATTTACTATGTTAAACGTCCGCTTCTAAGCGTAAATGAACTATAGTAATTATAGTTATAAAAAAATATCCAAACAAGCATAACTCACATTTATAATAACATTATAATATGTAAATAAAGGGAGTTCGAATTTTTAGATATATTTATAGGTACATATATTTGTGAATAGGAGAACTTAAATATTGCTTACATTTATGGAAAATATAACTATAATAAAATTTACCTATTCATTTAAATAAAACAAACAAATTGACACTACTGCCCCGCGGCTGCGTTGGTACAGAATGCGGCCAGGCCAGTGGCGTAAAATAAGGAAAAGCGTACATAGTGTCGCATTCAGACTAAAACTACGCTACACAATATGTATATTCTATCCTACGATATAATGTAACCTCCCAACAAAATTTTATGAAATTGTTCCACACTAAGGGTGACTAAGGAGTAAGGAATATAATAGTCAGCTAGTAATCGCGTATTGTTTCCCTGTCGCCTCTTACGACACCCACGCGATGATATAGGCTATTGGCTTACCTAACTCTGCTATATGGCTTCATATGAGCACAGATGGGCAGCAGAACTCAAAATAAAAACTGCGGTTGCCAACCAAGTGTGGCAATTATGGCAAATATCCCCCCAAACAGACAATATATGGGGGAGGCCAAAGTTCAGCAGTGGACTTTTCATAGGATGTGATGTATGAATGATGAAGATGATAATAACTAATGTTTCTAAAATAAAAGTAGTCTAAATTACTCCTTATACATCAGCTATCTGCCAGTGGAGGTCCCGTCAAAATTGGTCCAGCCATTTCGGAGATCAGCCGGAACAAACAGACAGACAGAAATTTAAAACATTGTATTTTTGTTACAAGTAACGTACATATGTGCTCCATTTAATAAAAAGTTGTTATTTTGACTTTACAAACAGACATTTCAATTTGATTTATTTGTATAAATAATTATATCTTTTACTGACGGCTGAACGTAATAAAACCGAGTGTAAATTAGCGGCAAGACATTTTACGTTTTAAAATGTAAACTAAATAATTTTACATTTAACTAACTGAACTGTTAATATATTATGAGTTATGACTTAACATACACATATTTAAAATTTTATTATTTACAACCCATAAAAACAATTATTAATTCTTATGATTACGAGTATATTCCAGCATTGTCCATAACACGCTCTTTATATCAATTTTTATAGGCATTAAGCCATTGGTGCTTTTATAAATGTTGGTTGTTTTCTAGAGATATATGACAACCTCATGGTTTAGTGGTTACTAATAACTGAGTAACAAACACTGGATTTGAATCCCAGCTAGAACAAATATTCATGTAAAATTTTTTAATAACTTTTTGGAAACCCATGAAATTACATTGCCTTTAAAATGCAAAATTATCACAAATAAACAAAGTCAAATAATACTCTTGAAACAAAGTTAAGGCCTAAATGAAAACTTACTGACAGTCAGTCTTTGGCGAAATTGAGCGTCAGCAAAAAAAGCTATGAGCAAATGATATTAAAAACAACTTTAAATAACTATTGTTTAAATATAAAACATAAATAGTAATATATTGTTAATGTAGCACTAAAATTGTTATTATATAATATTTTTGTACGATATATTACTGTCTAAGCGCATTATGATATTAACATTGGCTACAACTATAGAATTATAACAAAAAAAAACATTTATGTTCCTATACCACATTATTTGTGCATTGGACTTTTTAAAACATAACTCTGTATTGAGTATACAAAAGGTAATATGGATCATGTTTTGGGAATTCTTCACTGTTTTATCATAATATTACAGTTTGCCTTTAAAATAAAAACAATGGGTGAAAAAAGTAAATAAATGTACAATGGAAAAAGAAGGTGCTGTATTGAGGTAAAGATAGAACTCATTTTAAATTGAATCGATCTTAAATTACTTTACAGCAGCAGTTGCTATAGTTTGTGTTGTGCTAGACAAAAGAACTCAATAATACATATAATCATGTAGTTGGCTACATATGAGATTCCACTACCCCATATCATTCTAGATATATTGTAAAAAACAACAGAGGGAAACTGAAATAAGAGATGGACAGCAGCGTCTTCCTGATAACTCAATAATAATAATAAAAAACTGCATTACTCAACTCCCTGAGTGTGGCTACTAAAGCAAAGTTCTTTGTAAGGCAATCTATGGGGTCATTGTACATTAGTGGTCTTTGATAGACAGTATTTCTTTATTTTTTTTAATAAGGGTGACTAATGGGCACACAGTCCACCTGATGGTAAGTGAATGTGGCCCATAGACATCTACATCTGTCGTTTATAAATGCAGATATGCTGTATCCCCTGAGGACTAAGAGAAACAGCAGTTTTAAGCTGCTGTTTATTTGGTACACACTGGTATTATTTGAGTGTGATCCTTTCCCAATCGAGCCGCATCATTTGTGCTATAATATATCAAAAACTTCTCATTAACTATAATGTTACATCAACTACCTCAGTTCCCTTATGGTATTGCAGTGTTTGTAACATCAGAATCAGGATTATAATAAGTGAAGTAAAATGTCATTTATAAAAATCATAATTTGAGTTTCTGTGATCATCATCATCATCTTTACAGCTTATCACAAGTCCACTGCTGAACATGCACAAAGCATGGTCCTGAGCCACTTGCATCCATCTACCCTGCTTCTTTTTTTTTCAAGTCGGCACTCCATCTATTAATGGTCTTTTCAACATTTTACTTACTGATACAGGGTTGCTATTCTAGAAACTTTCCTTCTCATCAGTTGTCAGTTCTTTGAGCTATATGGTTGGCCCATTGCCACTTCAGGTTACTGATTTAAGGTCAGTATCATAAAATATCTTTTTTGAAATCAAATTTAGGAATGACTCTTTTTAACAATACATGGTTGCTTTATCACAACTTTAATACTTAATATAACTGTCTGGTTACTATTAACTGTAGAAAACATGAACAAAATAATAATCTAATAATCAGATAATACAAAGAAAGAAATGTGTGCTGTTAAGTATTCATGGACAATATAGTTCTACATATTTGATCTAAATAATCTTCTAATGTGTTTATCAAGTCCATGCTTATGTAACAACAATAATATATAATAACAACATAAAATAATATTTATACCTAAACTATAGACCTAAGATAAGAACCTAATTAGAGTTAGCTGCATACATGAAGTAATCACAATTATACATTGTAAGAGCTTAAACATTTCTTTATTAGATTTTAAAACAACAGAATTACTATGGTATATAAAATACATTATTCTCAGTAAAGCTCTACATAATGTTAATGTTATTCTTTATTTTCTAAGAGTGATTCAATTTATGATTGTAATGATTTTTAACACTTCCTTGTTATTCGTCATATTGTAAATTATCTGCTAATTTATATAAATAAATAATCAACCATTGTTACAACTAAGGGCTCAAAGGCGGGTCATCTTGACCGATCATGACGTCTTCATACATCACATCATTATGCCTCCTCAAATTAATCTTTTGACGCACATATTCAACCAAATCGTACTTCCTGATCACCAACACCAGCCCGCAAACTATTAAAGCAACTGCGAAAATACTCACAACTATGGCTGTGGAATCGCGGCTTGATATATAATACGTATAAGAGTTTTCGCATTCATCACCAACTTTGTAGTAACCCTCGATACATTCGCACTCGAGCGACGTCTGGTTACAGAAATAATTATTTCCTGGACACGGTTCGAGGGAGGTCACGTTGCAAGACAGGATATACTCTGTTAAAAAGAATACTTTGTAATGCAAAGCTTGATTGATTCAATTAAATAATTGTTCAATACTTACCCGTGTAAAAGCAGAATAAACTTAATATTATTACTATGATATCCATTACTTTTAATCCCATGATTGTGGCTTGTCGCGTAGGAAAGTTTACATCACAAATTATAACGGAGTATAAAAGTTTTTGTCTATTTATCGGGTAATGAATAAACCGTATGGTATCAGTCGCAGAAGCAAAACATTTGCAGCGTCAACTGTCAATGTCATAACAAAGCAAACTGTCAAAGTCAATCGTATTGCTTTTTAGAAATATTTTTTTGGCTTGGATGCTTGTCCTTTGAACCATGTCGTTATCAATTTTATCTCAGTATCAAGAGTGATAATAATCCTTTATAGTACACTGATTCACAATATGTTGATGCGTCACATTGCGTAGTTTTAGGGAGATTTTGACGGCAACTTGAACCAGCAGACACTTGGCGATAATATCTCAAGGTGCTCAATCAGACAGATCTAATCTTGAGATTAACATCTCCATCGGAGCACATGTTTCACCGTTTCCACTAAAAGTTCATATGCGCAGACATTTAATACGCAAAATCTCCTTTTATATATCAAAATCGACTTCAGACCATTATTTAAACAATAATACAGGAGCGGTAATCCGCCGCCGGTCAAACCCACCAAAACTCCTTTTTATTTATTACATGACCATGGATACAGACAGATTTAATAAAAATATTATTAAAAGTTCAGCTGGTCTGTGTATTTATTTCCACAAAATTCTTCACGACGAAATTTAGACCACAGCTTAACCCAGCGGACAGTTGAACGTTGCAGGACAGGATATACTCAGTTAAAAATAATATTTTGTAATGCGAAACTTGATCGATTCAATTAAATAATTGTTCAATACTTACCCGTGTAAAAGCAGAGTAAACTTAACCTTTAACTATGGACGCGCGGTCTCACAGGCCGCTCGCAGTTTGTAATTTTCGTGTTTTTTTTTTACTTATTATAAGCCAGTGCTTGACCACTGGTGGTTAAGTGGTGATGCAGCCTTAGATGGTAAATCGCACTGTCTTATCGTAACAAAAGCCTATTCACTCTTACCTTGAAGATGCCTAGAAGACGCCTGCAAATTATTCGTGTTTATCTCGTTCCCCTCGCTCCCCACGTCTAAGGCGCTCAGTAGCTTTAGTTTTAGTGGTAAAACAATGTTAAGATGGGAAGTTGTGTCGGCGGCTGCAAATTAGGTGAGTTATTTTACTTTAAACTTTGACCGCGTTCTGTGGGACCGCACGTCCACGTTTTCTATAGAAAAATCTTGACGTAATTTTTTTTAGGTTATTTTCATTCAAAATGTCTAGTACTCAAAGTGCATCTACATCAAAACAAACGCCAAGGTCACCGCTGCAACAGCGTGTGAGCAAAATTTGTCGATTCGACGACCCTTCTTTAGAAAAAGAACTGTATGATTTACTTTTAGAGTCGGACCAGGCTGATAACGCGGAAACTATTGAGGATTGCTTGATATCTGAAGCTGATTTCATCCAGAATAATACAAGTGACCAAGAAGACTATGAAAAAATACCGTTGTCTCTACCATAGACGATAACATTGTTAGAAGTATCAGTTCCAATGGTGATAGCTTAGAATTCAAAGAATTCTTGATTATGTGGTGTCAATGCTTATGTTCTATACATTCAGCATTCAGCCAAAAATGTAGAAAGAGGTGATTTTCTAAAAAAAAACTTGCACGGTCTTTAATCGTTCCACATATACAAAGACGTGCAATAAAGCCAAATATAGCAAATGAATTAAAAATGACACTGATGCGAGTTTTAGGGGTAGATATGCCTCCAGACAAAACTCCTTCTCAGGAGACTGACACATCAAAGCGAAAACCATGTCGTCTTTGTCCCTCAAAACTAAAGAGCAATTCCAACTATACTTGTATAAATTGTATACAGGTTATATGTTTACAGTGTTCAAAGCCCTTGTGCAAGGAGTGCCAATAATTTGATACATATTGAACCATTGTCAGAATTTTTGTATTTTATTTTGAGAAGATGTTAATTTATTTTTATGTTAGTATACGCCTTAGATTTAATGAAAATAATATAATTTTTTCTTAAAAGTGTAATTGTTTTAAGTTTTCAGTCCTAAAACTGATCTCAAGCTAATTTATGCCAAATAGTGCCTTTAACAGTTGATATGCTTGAATTATGTAAGAAATAAATAAAGATTGATTAAAAGCATCCAAATTATTTTATTTTAATATGCCTAGATAATAATAAATATATTAGCATAAAAATAAAATTAATATACATATATTAACTTTGTATTTATGTATGTTTATATTTGTTTATTGGCATATAAATATATTTATATTATGAATATGTATTAATATATGTAAATGTGCGAATATATATATATATATATATATGCATTTACTTATAATATTATATCATAATCTGTTTTGTTACATATAATGTATATTAATTTTAGTTTTAATTTTTTTTATTTTCCATTAATTGCTACACCTACGACTATCTTTCACCACTCCATGGGTTCACTGGTAGAGAATGCCTTTAGGCATTATGTCCGCCCTTTGTATCCTTTTTTTTCTAAAGAGACGCAATAAAGTTTTAAAATAAATAAATAAAATTAATATTTATGTAATATTTTGGCTTCATAACATAGCGGCCCGAGAGACCGCGCGTCCATAGTAGTGTGAAAAAAATGACATCCATAGATAAAGGTTGATATTATTAATATGATATCTGTAATAATTAATTCCATGATTGCGGCTTGTCGCGTAGGAAAGGTTACATCACAGATTATAACTGGATATAAGAGTTTCTTGGAACGAAGTTCTTTATCTTCGATACGGATTCGGCGAATGGGGACTAGGCGACAAAAAGTGTAAGATTTTTTCCTGCACGACCCCTGCTGATGTAGTGTGACGGCTTTGGCGGCTATAATGAAGCGAGATAGAGTAATATAATATCCATTTCCCACACACGTTTTCTTATCTTGCCATGACAGAAATATTATTTTATTTTAGCCATAGACTTAGAATATACTGGCGTATAGACCAACATAATGTGCAAGGAAAATTCCTTACGGCAAAAATGCAAGATAGAAAAGTATACCAAATCAAATGACTTTGTAACCGATTTTAAATGACAGATCGGCACATATCGGCACGCAAGAAATAGCTATAAGATATTTTGCAATTTTTTAGAGTGTACTATTGGTTATTTTTAGCAAGTAACTATTTCCAAAATGGTTATTTATTTATTTATTTATTTATTTACTCTTTATTGTACACCAAAAACAAAACAAAAACGAATACAATTAAATCTAAATGTGATTGTTCTATAAGTGAATGTAGTGTTAATAATAGAAATAATCCTGATAATTGCACAATTATGAATTGTGGTAAATTCACAAGACATCGTCAATGTTATGCCGCATTTATTTTTGGTTAAAATTTATGTTATCTACTGTTTAAAATATAAATTTTTTCCATTACTCTGTTAATTTTGATATTTTACAAAGAAAAAGTCAAATATAATTTAGCTATATGATAACAGCGTATGGTCAAATATTTTTCGACGACCAATCTTATTAGGTTCACTTGGTGAAGAGAACCACATGCGTGTTCAGTTTCAACTAAAATACAAGACTTTTTCACGGAAATATTCAGAGCATATCACTGTGGTTTTGGATGGTTTCCAGTATTGTTCTCCACGGCTTTTTCTTATTATGTCCCATCGACTTCTAACTATAGGCTCAATAAGTATCCTAAAACCATACATCCAAATGGTCAGATTCAATTTTGACAATTATTATACAATGCTATTTAGTAATACAAATAAAAAAGGAAAAATAAAGAAAAAATATTTAAGACTAAATAAAAAACACCCGACTGCTTGGAAGCTTGCAAATCAAAAACAATCGGTCCATCCGTTTAGGCTGTAGGCTCAACCAAACAATTTTTGAAATATACCCACATACACATACATACACACACCATGATGTATTTCCTCCTTCTGGTGCAGTCAGGTAAAAATGAACATATATTTAAACATACATTTGCTTTTAAGACAACTATACGGGGAAATTCGCAATCCAAGATTGGCAACACCAAAAAAAGACGCGTTGATTTTGTAAATTAAATTATCTATTTATTAGTTTTATTTTCCTAAATTACTATTAGTTTTGAGTTACTTACCGATGGTAGGAGATTTTGTTAGTTGTTTGTAAACGTCCTTTTTAATTTCAGCAGATTTTGATCGCACAACTTGTCATTTTCTCAACAATAATTTACCTCTAAAAAATGAGTCGTGCGTATCTCTTGGCGTTACAATTGACAGTGAGGAGCGGGGACAGCTTTAGAGGCTAACAGTTAGCTGATATTTTTTTCGACGCTTTTGAGCCGCCGTTACTCTATCAAGAGACTAAATAATCTAAGTAAAAACTTAAGATTTATTACACCACATCTAAGCACTGACAACATCGTTCATATGCGCCGACATTTAGGCTCCATGGCGCAGTGCCTTAGCAATGAGTTGCATTGCTGAGGGCCACGGGTACGAATTCCGCACGGAGCAAGTATTTATGTGGCCTGCAAATAAGTTTTTTTTTATAGGATAAGGGTGACAAATGAGCACACAGTCCACCTGATGGTAAGTGGTTGCTGCGGCCCATAGACATCTACATCTATCCTCTATTACAAATGAAAATGCAGATGCGTTGTCACCCGTGAGGACTAAGATGTAATGCCTCATTTCCAGTAAAAAGGGCCTCTGGCCACCTGCACTCACCAAGCGAAACGCAGAAGTAAACCTCTACTTCACGCTGGTATTGTGATATCGCTGTGAGGTCGTGGTACCACCCCGGTTCGAGCCGGCCCATCCGTGCGACAGCAAAAGCTGCCGCGTGGCTCTACCACTGTTAAAAGTGTTCCGGGTTTGGATGAACATAAATTGCACAAGGACAAATCTTTGTGCAATTTATATTTGTAAACTGCCTCCACGATAAAGGAGAAAATCCCACAGTGAGGGTAACATTTTTACAACCATGAAGATTCTTTACGTAATGAAATGAAACAAAAGAGTAATATAGTTTTTAATGGATGTATTTATTTTAAAATCTAAACTTACTAAATAATTTTAACAGTCAATCAGATCAGTCAATAGATCAGCGTACAGTTTCTGTTTTATAAACACGACAGGAAGCTCCCGCCTTAATATTTTAAAAGTCGTATTCATCTCCTGAACCATAGGTGTACTTTTCAGGCAGCTTGTAGTCGGCTGGATTGTGTCCATGTGCTTCTTCACCACCGTTGCCATCACTACCTCCTAACCTGCAGAGTATTATTACATTTTATTATATAACTACGAGCAAGACTATTTTATACATCGGATAATAATATTAATAAGTAACTTGCCGTGTGTTTTTTTTATAGGATCGAGTGACAAACGAGCACACAGTCCACTTGATGGTAAGTGGTTGCTGTGGCCCATAGATATCTACATTTATCCTCGTTTGCGAATCAAAATGCAGATGCGTTGTCACCGACCCATTCGTGCTACAACTATACTAATAATATAGCTGCAGCTAGAGCCATGCTGCAGCTATATTACACGTGTGTTGGTGGCGTAAGGCAAATATGAGAAATGCCAGAAAAATATTCTGGTGCGTCAGTCAGCGAGCCATGGAGAGGGCTATGCTAAGAGTTTCTTTGCATGATAGACTTAGAAATGAGCATATCCGCAGTAGAACCCGAACAACTGACGGAGACCAACAGATCTATAAGCTGAAGTGGAAATGGATCGGCCATATAGTTTGAAGAACGGACAACCGATGAGAGATTCTCGAGTGACAGCCCCGTAAGAGGAGTAAGCGAATTGTAGGGCGTTTCTCCCTACGTATGGAGTGACAACCTGGTATGAATTACTTTATATAAAACTTTTAGCATTATACCTTAGTTCTTCATGCTGTTTTTCATTCTTTGCTTCGTCTTCTGGTTCTTCTTCTTCTGTCTCATGTGAAGGTTCCCGATATTTTTGAGCTATAATTAAGAAAAATATTTTATGTACCCAGTTTTCAAAGAATAATCTCTCTTAATAAGAATTCAGGTAACAAATTATTATCTTTTATTTTAAAAACTAAAACTCCATAATGACTTCAGGACTTATATTTTTCTTCACTCATTCAAAAAATAAATTATCTATATTTACCTAACCTTTTCTGATAATAACCCGGAAGTCAGTCTGAGCGAGATTAGAATGGCTCTCCAGCGCCTTAAAACGACAACAGTAGTAGGCCGAACGAATACAGTAGTAGGGCTATGATAGCTATCCGAGTATAGAACCAGAATACGAAACCCATTCAACTGCAGAGAGGTGTAAGACAGGGTGGGTTATATCCAAGAAACTCTTCACCGTAAGACGTATTCAAGCTAATGGACTGGAAAGGATACAGTATTAACATCAATGGCGAGTACATCACTCACTAAACCATAGCCCAACAGATTAGTCAGCTGAAGTGGCAATGAGCTTGCCATGTAGCTCGAAGAATCGATAGGCGATAGGGAAGAAAGATTTTGGAGTGGCAGCCTCGTATCAGTAGGCGAAGTCCATAACGGCCCCCACTAAATGGAGTGACGCTCTGGTAAGGAAGTCAATGGATGCAGGTGACTCAGGATCGTGCTTTGTGGCATTCCTTGGAAGAGGCCTATGTTTAGCAGTGGAATTGTGAAGGGATATAATGATGAACTTACGTTTTGTCATTTACTATACCATTTAATTTTATGCTCTATTTATGATTTCACGAGTCCATCTGCATGAAACTATCTAATTTAGTTTTAAAACAACCATTTCAAGAACCGTCTTACATATTTCAAAGGTCGCCTTATAAGCGGCCTGGCCCTTCGTTCACCTTTTTCGTGCTGATGACTGTGTGCTTTATCTTGACCCTCGTCATCTAGACCATATGAGTCTTGTTTCTCGAACTCGTAGTTGTCCCCGGCCTTCTTGTGGAAAGAGTCGAAGTGCTGGTATCCCTTTTTACCGCCGCCTCCCTTCTTTCGAGAGTAACCAATTTCACCGTCGCCTTCGTTCTCATAAGACTTGTGATAATTCTCCGGCTGAAAGCGAAAACGATTGCAATTTGTAAATGATTATCATAGACGAGGATTTATAATGCATTTTTATGTTTTATTGTTTACGACGACATTTTCTGTAGATTTTTTTTTATATTATTGTGCCATAAGTTCTTGGTGTAAGTACCTATGCGATGATGATACATAGCATGTTAGAAATGTATTTTAGTATTTTAATAAGATCGTGAGTGATCGAATATTATGTGGGGTCGAGTTTCATATACCTATCTTTTTTAATAATTAGATCACTGCAATAAAATTTTGGTTTTCCCAAGTTAAGTGGTATTGATCCTGGTGCCAACATCAGTGAAAATTTAATAAAAGTTAATTGCAATTTTACTCCATCTTCTTCCCTTGTGTGTCATAAAAGGTGACTAGGACAAATGTCAGAAAAATCTGATGGCTTCCCATGGATGGCAATTTAACTTTGACGGCTCCGTGGCGCAGTGGCTTAGCAATCAGTTGCTTGCGCTGGGGGGCGCGGGTTCGAATCCCGCACGGAACAAGTACTTGTATGGCCTACAAATAATTGTTTCGGGCCTGGATGTTTGTTCTTGTGCAATTTATGTTACATGTTACGATACAGGAGAAAATCCTAGTGTGAGGGAAACGTTTAAAAAAAATTAAAAAAAAAACTTTACGCCAGGCGTAATATATCTAGACTGGCGAAGTGCAGCTGCGTCCAAGGGGTTCACACCTGCAACTACGATCGTTAATCCGTCTGCTGAGCGTGACAGTTAAGTCAAGTCCACCCCCCATATCGCACCGCATATCGCTGCCTAAAATTTCAATATCGCCAGCTGCCCCTTTTTTTATAATGATAATGTCCTCCAGACTGAATTTCGGTCACGGCGGCCAGCCTCAACGGAGACTAGCCATCGACAGGACCGGATAATAGTGGCCAAGTGTATAAGCAAGCACAGGTGTACTCTCTATCCGGTAACTGACACGACTGGAGAGAGATCAGGCGCAAGACCAACGGAATTACGGGGTGAGACGCCGTTCTAAAAAATTGCCGGTGATAAACGATTACACAAAGAAGTCATGCGAGGAATAAACTCCTACTAAAACATACAGTGGCGGACCGCCAAGTATCCAGATGGTGTGGATGGTATCGTCAGTTTTGTCGTTAGAACTAGGTCTGTCGCTAGGAGGAAAAGCAGTTCTTATATCTGAAAGAACCCTTCTCAGAAGGAGATAGGTCTTTCCCCTTTTCCTTCACAGGCATTCCGAGGAAAGTAGGGAGAGTCTCGCATCATTGTATTAATACTCCTCTTACCCCGCGGTCCATTGCTTGTGATCAATGTCCAGTCTACCCTTTAAGTAATTTAATGTCATGGGCTAATATAATATACTAATGTAATCTATAAAACTACAAAGCGCTGGCTACTGATATATATCGAAAAATACATTATTCTTACCGCTGCTGCTCGCACTTCCCGAATGTAAGATCCGACTGACATTGCATCATCGGCAATCTCCAAGTCCTCAAGCGTGGTCGTCGGCAACGCCGTTGCAAATTGCAAAAAACCTAAAGCTATTAAATGTAGCTTCATTATGGAACAATCTGAAATTATATTTATCTCATTACACTATTGTATATTTTATATACCGCCTAAGTTATTTTTTATATTAAAATTACTAAACATAAGCATATAATAATGTTTGAATTAAATTTCTAATAGGGTAAATTTTTTACGTGTCTACGAAAATTATAATTTAGACGTCTGATCGAGTTGGAAAATGTAATGTTCTTTTTTCTTTCTTTTAAAAATGAATGTTTAAGGCAAATTTTATTTTCTACCTTTTAAGTGTTAGTGAGCAAAGACTTGTACACCTGTTCTGTGGCCCACAGATTAATCTCTGGAGTATAATAAAAATTGTGTACTTTATATAACTCGCAATCGCAACCGCTGTTATCTTTCACAACGCTTAGCGGGTGACTGTACCCACTATACTTTGTAAAAGCGAACGACCAGCGCCTTACGCATAGAACTATAGAGACCAACGTCGAGTTTTTATCGAAAAGTTGCTAAAACGTTTCCCACAATTCTGATTGCAGTTTATTGATCTGTGACGAGGTTCATTCATTTCAATTTCTCCAAGATGAAATGGTTCAAGGCCGGTAATCGAATTTACTTTTGGTTTTATATTTATTTAATACTAGAGACCCGTTTCTCAAGAGTTTGTAATATGTATGTTTGTCTACTTCTTTGGCACGCTCTGTATTCTAAACGGCTTGATGGATTTTAAAATAATATGTGTTGTATAGTATTTTATATTTTATTACTTATAATATTATATAATATTTATATATTGAAGAGTTTTTTTTCAGTAAACTTTTTAGCGCAGTCGTGTTTTTTTAATCACTGTTATTACCATTAGTCCGTAGTGGTAACAGTAACAGTCAGAATAGAGATATAAATAGAAACTTTTATATTCAATATAGATTATGAATAGTATTGAAAGACATTCTCATGTTAAATTTACCACAGCTTCCGAAAATAATTCTATCCTGGGAAGAACCAGCAAGAAATCCAGAGGGAAATTTATTTTTTGACAAAAAAAAAGGACAGCTTACAATGATATAACACAAGCTAATATACCTGTCTCTTGACTCCAAAGAGTCAGTAATTCATTTTTGGGGCAATGTATTACAATTTATTTAAAAAAAGTCCCGCTGGGTTTCTTACCGGTTCTTCCTAGGACAGAGGTTTTTTTTCGAACCAGTGGAATAAAACAAAAGACTGACTTTCAATAATTATTATTTATAATCTATATTGAATAAAAAAGTTTCTGTTTCTTTTCTTGCACCGGCTGGCTATTCACGAGCATATTATGTTAGCGACTATTATTTGTAACTATAAGTGTAGTAAGCTTTACTAAAATACTTCTGCCAGGTTGTGTGGACTCTTTTACTTTCTGGAAGTCTGTCTGAGAAGGTACCACCGTCTTACGTATTTCTGCCGTCTAGTTGCAGAGTTTGCGCTGTTGTGCTCCTGTTAATAGAGAGCCATTATAATTAGAGACTGCGATGCATTTCATCTTAGTTCTCAGAGGTGATAATGCAGCTGTAGCTTTGTTTGTTTGGAGTTAGGTGCAGGTGTCCTTGGGCTGCAATAACCACTTACCATTAATTGAACTGTAGGTTTGTTTGTCATTTCAGTTTTATAAAATATCTTTTTTTTTATAGGATAGGAGTGACAAATGAGCACACAGGTGGACCTGATAGGTGGTTGCTGTGGCTCTACCTCTATCCTCGATTACGCATCAGGGGTACCTCGTTTAGAGCCGGGGCGGCATCAGAGACAGCTGAACTGAGTAAGTGGCGTAAATATGAGTCACTGAGAGATGACTACATATTTGAGCCATTTGCTGTAGAGACTATTGGTCCGTGGGGTCCACGTGCGTTGAAGTTCCTAAAGGAACTCCATCTGTGGCTAGTCGTTGCTGCTGGTGACAAGAGGGTTGGTTCTTTTCTCGCTCAAAGTATAAGTATAGCCATTCAGCGGGGAAACGCAGCCAGCGTTCTTGGCACGATACAGCAGGGAGTAGGACTATATGATAATTAAGTTTCTAGTTTTAGTTTTTTCATTATAGTTTTTTAATATTGTATATAATAGATAACAACATGTTTAGTTATTAAATATAGATAGGTATATATCCCTTCGGCAAATTGTACAGAAGTCCGAGGAGTACAATTTGCCACTATGTCTGGCGTATGTGGACTATGAGAATGCCTTTGATTTCGTCGAAATTTGGGCGGTGCTGCAGTCCCTTCAGCGATACCAAGTTGACTGTCGGTATATCGAAGTGTTGAAGTGCTTGTACAGTAGGGCTACGATGGCTATCCGAGTACAGAACCAGAGTACGAAACCTATCCAATTGCAGAGAGGTGTAAGACAGGATGACGTCATATCCCCGAAACTCTTTACCGCTGCATTGGAAGATGTTTTCAAGTTTCTGGACTGGAAAGGATACGGTATCAACATCAATGGCGAGTACATCACTCACCTTCGATTTGCCGACGATATAGTCCTTATGGCAGAATCGCTGGAGGACCTAAGCACTATGCTCAATGACCTCAATAGTGTTTCCCAACGGATAGGTCTTAAGATGAACATGGACAAAACAAAGATCATGTTTAATGTCCATGTCACTCCTATGCCGGTAGTTGTTGGGAACACTAAGCTCGAAGTTGTTGACGAGTATGTTTACCTGGGACAAATAGTCCGACTATGTAAGTCCAACTTCGACCGAGAGGTCAATCGACCGATCAACTCGGTTGGGCAGCGTTTGGGAAATTACGGCACATCTTCTCGTCAGGTATACCTCAAAACTTGAAAACGAGACTGTACACCCAGTGCGTGTTGCCAGTGATGACATACGGAACTGAGACGTGGTCCTTCACTGCTGGTCGGATGAGGAAGCTCAAGGTCGCTCAGCGAGCTATGGAGAGGGCTATGCTCGGAGTTTCTCTGCGAGATAAACTCAGAAATGAGGATATCCGCAGTAGAACCAGAGTGACCGACATAGCCCAACGGATTAGTAAGCTGAAGTGGCAATGGGCCGGCCATATAGCTCGAAGAACCGACAACCGATGGGGAAGAAAGGTTCTCGAGTGGCAGCCTCGTACCGGCAGGCGAAGTGTAGGGCGTCCCCCCACTAGATGGAGTGAGCACCTGGTAAGATATGCAGGAAGTCGATGGATGCAGGTGGCTCAGGACCGTGCTTTGTGGCATTCTTTGGGGGAGGCCTATGTTCAGCAGTGGACTTGTGAAGGGCTGTAATGATGACAATGATGAGGTATATATAATTTTGAACCTTACGAATCAAAATGCAGATGTCTTGTCACCCGTGAGGACTAAGGTAGAATGCGTCGTTTCCAGCGAAAAGAGTCCTCTGGTTCTCCACACTCACCAGACGAAATGCGCTGGTATTCTGTGAGATCGTGGTCCTTCTCCGGTCGAGACGACCCATTCGTGTTACATCTATAATACCAATATAGCTGCAGCATGGCTCTTGCACGTTAAAAATGATGCAATACTCTATGGTGCACTTTGCTTTACTCTGTGTATGTTAACGTCTGGTGTAAGCAAGAGAGTTATATCACTATCTATCAGAAACCATGAGATATTTCTTAGATTTCCCTTAGACGCCTCTTACGACACCCATGAAAGGAAACGAGGTGATGAATGTTATTATACCACCACACGGCTAAAAATAATCCATTCCACTCTTACTGCGTGTTTCGAAACATCATTTAGGAATTTCATAATAGATTGTTGGGCGGTTTCAAGGTCGTTTCATTCTAAAGTAATTCTATCTGATGACAAATCACGACCTTCAACGGTTACAGTAAAAAGTTGACGCGAATTCACGACACCACAGTTTGACATTGCTAAAAAGTATTGCGTTGGAATATTATCGTTAACTACAGCCATAGGAGAATCTGATTATTAAGATGTGAGCCATGTTCCGTTGCCATATAGTTGATAGAACCACGCTCTCACGGAACGAATGTGTCAAAAGGTATAATACTGCTGTTTTGTATAATGAATTTAGAGAACCACTCTAGGGCCCGTATTAATAAACGTTACTCAACGACGAACTCAAGTGCGTAATGATTTGATACGCTCTCATTACGATATCAGCATCTCAAGATCGTTGATAATTAATAAACACACCAAAACAGTATCTCAAAACTCTGTACTTAGGAATACTGTTCTGTTACTTGCACTCATGTACACACACTGGAGAGTCGAGTTTCGTTTATTAATCAGTGTGGCACTCAGCTGATATCGTAAACCTAAACCGCATCTTGAGATATGTTCATTAATAAGATCATAACCTCAAAATTGTACTCAATTACGTGTACTTGATCTGAGTAACGTTTATTAATACGGGCCTAGGCCTCTTTCTCTGTCTACAAGTCTGTCTGGGTGGGTGCCATCCTTTTACGATTATCTGCAGCCAAATTTTAGTGTTCGTACTGTTGTGTTCCGGGCTGAAGTGTAAAGAGAGTCAGTTTCAGTATAGGCTGTGTGGCATTCCATCTTATTTCTCAGAGGTGACAACGAATCTGAAGTCTCCTTTGCTTCAACTTGGCCTGTAAGATGAAATGGTTTAAGACATTTATTTTCTCAAAAGATTTACAAATCACTTACAGAGAAAATACTTATTAATTAAAAACATTAAGCCTATTGGCGTAGTGAGTTAGTATTATAATAGGTCGCTAAAACTTAATTACTGATTGAGTGCTTAATAATATGATTAGTAATAATTACCAGGAACAGTGTAGTATGATATGAATGAATGTGGCGAGTTGTTTGTTAAGGCCCATGACACATTAACTGTTTCATTGCGTTCATCTTTAAAAATTATTACTATATTATGTGTTATGTTAACATAACTAGGTAGTGTTTATTTATTTAGTATAATATATTATATTTAGGCGTTAATTTGCTTGTAATATTTTCTAGTCAAGATCGTGACCCTTTTTATTGGTAACGAGTCATTCTATCTAAATGCTCATGAAAGATAACGCATCTGAATTTTGATTGTTAATTGAGAACAGATGTAGGTGTCTATGGACCATAATATCCAAGTTATCGTAGTACCAGATTCCTAGTATCTACCTACATTTGATGTTACTTCTCATCGTTGATCTGTGTATTAAACGTCTAGCGTAAGAAAGATGAAAAAAAGCGTTTCGTGTAGTAGACTTGGGCCACTAAACGAAGTGTATGGCGGCTCTCCACTAGATGGAGCAACCACCTGGCAAGATCGATGAATGCAGGTCGGCTAGGTCCGTGCTTTGAAGCATTGAATGTGGTAGCGCCACGCTGCAGCTATATTATGGTTGTAGCACCAATGGAATATATCAACCGGGGAAGGACCATGCTCTCACAGAATACCAGTTTCGGCTCGAACCGGGGTGGTACCACAACCTCACAGAAAACCAGCGTGAAGTAGAGGTTTACCTCTGCGTTTCGCTTGGTGAGTGCAGGTGGCCGGAGGCCCTTTTTACTGGAAATGAGGCATTCCATCTTAGTCCTCGCGGGTGACAAAGCATATGCATTTTGATTCGCAAACGAGGATAGATGTAGATGTCTATGGGCCGAAGCAACCACTTACCATCAGGTGGACTGTGTGCTCGTTTGTCACCCTCATCCTATAAAAAAAAAATACCAGAGTAAAATAGCCGCTTAATGCTGCTGTGTTTCGTATGGTGAGTGTAGAGAACCGGAGACTGGAAACAAGACATTCCATCGTAATCATCAGGGGTAACAGCGCATCTGAATTTTGATTTTTAATCGTGTACTCATTTGTCACTCCCGTTTTATAAAAAAAATCCTTAGGAGTGGCCTATTTTCATCAGTGGATTGAGGTCCACAGATAGCGTTAACGTCAGTTAACTCTGTCGGAATATTTATCTTTAATCTTTAAGTTCCTTCTGAAATTCCCCATAGTTGCTCACTAAATGAGGTGATTGGTTCTTTTTCTCCTCTCTCATATGATAATCACAAACGGTAAATATTACTTACGACCGATTTCTGTATTTATGGAACGTTTCGTTCTCCTTGACAATCCGTTTCATTACATACGAGGTCTTTTCATTACATAACAGTTTTTATCTAAATTTACTTAGGAATTTTATCTCGAACATATATGTCAGCTTCATCATACCCTAATCTTACAGATATGTAGTTGAAAAATCGTACTCAAAAGAACTATATAATTATTGATCTTTCATAACCATATAAACTAAAAATTTTGCAGAATCAGACAGTGGTTCTGCTAACACAGTTGAACACACTCCTAAAATGTACATATTTATTTTAAAATGATGCTTCAATAATTCTCTTTCTCCCACAAATTTTTCACACTCCATTAATACAGGCTAAAAGGTATCAATAGGCTCACATGCTTCAACATTAGTAAAAAAACTAAAGCAGCACTAAGCAACAAGAGTGGTCGAGTAGGGCCATACTGAATGGTTCTATGCCTTTTTCTCCGTCGTTTTCGTGAAAATATTGTATAAACATATTGTAGTAATTTCATATTTATATGTAAATTTTATTATTTATATGTTTGGTATCCTAAAATTATTTGAACCAAACAATTTTAAGCGGTTCGTAAGTAGTTGAACCGATATTTAAGAAAAAGCGGTTTTCATGATCGAACGGTTCATAAAGAAAAGCAAAGCGTGTTTTTGTATGCGATGAATAAATTTTCAATCAAGTTTCTAATTTCACGAACAAAAAGGAAAGCTTGCCAAACCGCAGTTCAATTAAACCGCATTTGTGTACAGCAAATAATCATGAAAATGATTGTGAAATAAATTTAAAGGATGACGATGTTCTATTTGCTTCATTTAATAAAGCAAAACATGGGATGGGGATGAAAGTTCAGAAACATTTGGAGTTTATTGAAGTTTACTCCTTAAGAATTGAATGCCATATATAGCCCGCGGTACACAAATTAGATGAGGAGCGAAATTCAGTGGTAACGAAAATTTAAGTCGTTATGTAGCCCCTCCGCGCAACACATTCGCGTATCTTATGTCGAATTCGTATGAAGATGGAGATGGTGGTTGAATTTGTTGAATAGTTAACTAATATCTTTTTGTGGTTATTGGAATGATTTATTTTTTTAACATATTTCAATAACATCACTCTATTCTCTCGGGTTTACCCTCGGCCTGTGTAACATCACGTCCATTATATCGAACGTCCAGAAATATGACATTGATTGCTTGTGAAGTAATCTCAAGTCTGTTATTGCAGTCCTCGGGACGTGCTAAACAAGCATAGCGATAGAGGACTTCTCGATTAGAAGAACTCTTTACCGTTGCATATTAGACGTGTGCTATCTCTTGAAAAATCTATTGAAAAACTTGTCAAAGAGTTTATCTCTCCTAGAAATCATATCGTTTATTTAAAAATTGCGACCTATTTTTCCTTGTGTTAAGGTTTTTATTTCACTTACTTGTTTATTCCGTTATGATGTTGTATTTCTATATTTTTGTAATTAATGAATTTATTAGAAATGTAAAAATATCTAGTAATCCATATCGCCCCGTGGGTGCCGTAAGAGGCGACAGAGGAAAACTGAAACAAGAGATGTGGCAGCAGCATCTTCCTGATAACAAATTAAAGAAACGTTGAAATCTTAATTTTTAGGCCCTAGTAGAACATACCGACGCGCTTAGCACTTACGGCATGCAATAATAAAAAAAACTGCGCTTGCCAACTCGCCTGCCAAGCGTGGCAACTTTGGCAAAATCCTCCCTATCTATAGAAGAGGCCTTTGTTTAGTAGTGGTTTCAGATTTATAAGCTGTAATGAATGCAATGTATTGTAGTAATTTATCATATTATGTACTTATTTATTTATTTATTCTTTATTGCATTCCTTAATCTAAAAGAATACAAAGGGCAGACTTAATGCCTTGTGGCATTCTCTACCAGTCAACCCATGGAGTGATGAGAATTTGAAGTAGGTGTAGCAATATAGAATAAAAACAAAATAGAAATTTATATTTAATTACGTTATATATACATTTTACTAATATATACAATAAATAAACTATAAAAATGTAATGTAATTATATAATCAATAAATACTTATGTATTTATTGATTATATAATTACATGTATGTAGTTAGCCTACATGTCGTGAATAATAACTTGAGTACACTCTTACCCTTATCTGAAAATTGGTCTTTTTAATGCGGGATCTCTTGGCACTAACCATGATGAGTTCCAGGTTGCACTGGAGCGATTGCCACCGGATTTAATGGCTATAAATGAAACATGGCTTAGGACCGGAGAGTCCGGTCGTGCACCGTCTATACCTGGATATACTCTAAAACATATTCCCCGTCCATCCTCTATGCGTAGTCGTGGCGGCGGTGTCGGGTTTTATGTTAGGAGTGGTGTTCCAGTCCGTACTTGTTCGCATCCTTCTTCAATTGGTGACGTTGAACAAATGTGGCTATCACTTGTCATCAACTCGACTAGAATTTTAATAGGCACAGCCTACAGACCCCAATGGGTAAATGTTGATACTTTCTTCGACGCTCTCACTGATTCATTAGCAACATTTTCGTGTTATGACAATGTAGTGTTATTGGGTGATTTTAATATAAATGTTCTTAATGAAAACGAAAATATGACCTTGAGACTTCAACAATTTCTGCATTATACTAGTCTGATAAACTATGTTAAAGAACCCACACATTTTACATCTCATAGCGAGACGTTAATAGACCTCGTCTGTACTGATGCTGAAGTCAAGGGCATACAAGTTAACCATGTGAATGATCTTGGAGCACATGCAATGATTCTGGCAACTCTTAAAATAATTAAACCCAAATCTCATTTAAAATGTATTAATTATAGACCTATAAAAGAAATCAATTTAATTCACTTTGATAATATGATTGCCTCAGTAGATTGGGAAAGTGTAATTAAAATGGATTGCGTTAATGAAATGGTATCAACTTTTACTTATTTGTTACAAAATATATTTAACATCCATGCACCTGAAAAGTCCATAGCAGTACGTGATCGAAATTCACCGTGGTTAACTAGCAATGTTCGGTACATCATGAAACTTCGGAATAAAAGCCATGCAAAGTTTAAGAAAACTAATTTGGATAGCGATAAAATTCAATACAAATCTTTGAAACGTTTGGCAAACATTAGTATATACTGGGAGAAAAAAGCATATTTTAACAATCAAATTAATAATAACTTAAACCGTCCGAAATTATTGTGGAAGAACTTGAAACGGTCCGTCCTTCCTAACATTAAGCAATTGACAACGCTTCCTGTGTTTTTCGACGACCCAAATATAATCAATAGCCATTTTCTTAATGTTCCCGGGAATAATAATTTAACCATTTCTGATTTAACTCAATATGAGTTTCATCGATATGGGTGTAATGAATTTAAATTTCACAATGTAAGTGAAGAATATGTTGCAAAGATTATATTATCAATAAAATCAAATGCTCACGGTATTGATAAGTTGAGTAGGGATATGATCATCTTAACACTTCCGGCTACGTTAAAAGTCATTACAGCAATCATAAATAAGTCAATTGAAACATCTACTTTTCCTTCTTCGTGGAAAATAGCTCTCGTACGCCCTTTACCTAAAAACAATGATCCTAAGGATCTCAAAGACTTAAGGCCAATAAGTATACTACCCTTTCTTTCAAAAATTTTAGAAAAAGTTATTTATAATCAAGTTGTCAAGTTTTGTGATGCTAACAATATTTTACCTGACTTACAATCAGGTTTTAGAAAAGGTAGAAGCACGTCTACTGCTTTACTTGACGTTGTTGACAATATTCTTACATCTCAAGACTCTGGTAGAGGTACGATCCTTACCCTGCTTGATTTTTCAAGAGCATTTGATTCTATTAACATAGATTTGCTGCTGTCTAAGCTATCGTTTTATGGTTTTGTAACATCTTCCATAAAATGGTTTCAAAGTTACTTATGCGGCCGTTCACAACAAGTAATATTAAATCAACCAAATGGGTCTTCCCTTGTTTCTGAACAACGACCACTTCATAGAGGTGTTCCACAGGGTTCTATCTTAGGACCATTGTTATTTATAATTTACACTGCTGATATAACTAACTGCATGCACTTCTGCAAATACCACCTATATGCTGATGATCTACAGGTATATCTTTCCTGCAATTCACTTGAATTTCATTCCGCAATTAGTAACATCAATGAGGACCTGAATCGAATTGCAATATGGTCACAGAAAAATTCCCTCATTTTAAACCCGCTAAAAACTAAGTATATGCTTTTAGGATCAAAAAACCAAAGTAAATTTTTAGAAAATCAAAACCCTAAAATCATGTTGTTAAACATCCCTCTGGAGCGTGTAGGTGAAGCTCGTAACCTCGGTTTAGTTATGGATAGCAGATTGCGTTTTCAAAAACACGTACTCGATCTTGTCCGCAACTGCTTTTATATATAGAATCCGCGAATACATTCAGTTGGACTTAAGAATTAGACTGTGTGAATCTCTCGTTCTTTCAAAATTAAACCACTGCATTACAGTGTATGGACCCTGTATTTTGGAAAAGTCACAACGTCTAATTCAACGTATACAAAATGCATGTGCACGATACTGCTTCTCAATACCAAAACGGTCCCGTGTAACACCTTTTTTCAATGAAGCAGGCATTTTGAAAATGAAAGCGCGACAGAAACTATACCTCGCTAATCTTCTATTTGATGTTATCAAAACTAAGTCACCCCTATATTTATATGATAAACTTATATGGAGAAATCGACAAAACATCATTAGGTCTTGTACGAACCCGCTTGCCAATCCCACTTACTGTTCTGCAGCTTTCAGAGGTAGTTTTAAATATATAGCTACAAGGTGCTGGAACGACATTCCTCCACCTATTCGTGAGTGTAATTCAAAGTACAGTTTTAAATCCCATTATAAAAATCATTTATTACACTCACAAAAAGCTCAACCTTGAGCCTATCTTCCAGCATCGTTGAGCATTATAGGTATGTTTGTTTTTAGTGTGTATTTTCTAAGCTTTTATAAACGTAACAATAGTTACGTTTATTTTTATATATGTTTTGAAATAATTTAGTTTTATATAGAATATAATATGATATGAATATATTTATGTATAATATGTCTTGTATGTATGTATGTGTGTATATCCCTAAATGTATATGTAGGTATATTTATTAGCAAGGAAATAATTCAATTTATAAAATAATTATTGAAATGAATGTCATAAACACTTCCAGGCGGATCATGCGTGTTTCTGTGGTTATGGCAGAATCATCAGCGCTGTAGGTTACCCTGCAGCATTACGCTGAGTCATAACCTTTGCACTGGCGCTATACACTCTCGTAATTTTAATCTACCATACCTTTAACTTGTTATTTTTTATTGTTGTGATGTGTACAGTTCCAGTGAATAAATGTCTTTCTTTCTTTCTTTCTTTCTTACCCTTTGGCACAAGTCTTTATATCCTCTGCAATGTGGTTGCCTGGTAGAGACCGCTTCTACACCATAAGGCCGCCAATTGTACCTTTATATAATTCATTGTTTTTTTCTCTTATATTTATTGGTGTACAATAAAGTATATTTCATCATTCATTTATCTAATTTACTTCGTATTTTATGCACTGCCATACCGTTCATCAGATTGCGGTAAAACTTTGTCAACTTAATGCTTGCACTTGCGCGAAGGTTATTAACCGACAAATTTATTTGAAAGTTTATCATTCAATTTCAGTGAATGTATTAACATACCTAACTAAACAATAACGTTACTAAATTTAAAACAATATTTCCACAATTATTTCTCCTGCGGCTGCAACGCACCTAGCAGCTAATAGGTACTCTATAAAAACACAATCGCCGACTCTGTCCACTTGGATCGACAATCGTGATCCACAATAGATCCGTTGATAAAATTTGATTTATTTTTTACTAGCGGCCTGCCGGGACTTCGTCTCGATAGAATCTATTAATGTGAACCAAAAACCATAAATTTTTATCAAGTTTTGGTTTTTTACAAAAAACTTAATTTTTTATTTGGATAAAATATAGCCCATATCCCTCTCCTGGAATTACTCTCCATCTCTTTGTAAAGTTTCATTACAATCGGTTCAGCCATTTCAATTAGCCCGAACAGACACACAGACAAAAATTATATAAATTGTTGTTTATGTCTTAATAGCATGTATACAACCCCTAGGCTTAATTGAAGCCAGTTATTTCAATATTAAGTAATACTGATCACTGTTCTTCTACTGTTCACGAGTTCTTTTGTTAATAACAATTTACCAGAGGAACACAATAAAACAACTTTTAGGCATATTTATTTTATTTTATTTTAATTATATTAATAATATATTTTTTATGTTTGTCACCACGATTTGTTTTGTATAATATATTTGTTTATTTAAGAGTATCATTGATGAAGGCCGTATACACTGCAAGCGAATGCCCCTGTTCACCTGAAGAGTCTCTTCCCGTACTTGCTTCATTAGATTTTCTAATATCTGTGGTCTTAAAGTAACCAGATTCTCTCTCTCTTATAGCGTCTGGCAGAACATCGTACAATATCTGCCACTCTCTGTTTAGATGTAGTTCTTCTAATGCTTGGATGCTGTTCAACAAAAATATTAAGTTAATATGGCGTTGATGTCTTAGTTTAGACCAGACCGAGACCAGATTTGCAAAATATGCAGACTGATAACGGCGGCAAGTAGCTTCGAGAGTGATATATTGCGATCACCAATCTGCTGACATATATGGCGATTATTACCATTTCACCCTATAGAATGGGAGAGGCCTAGGTCCAGCAGTGTACTTTAACGAGCTAACGAAGAAGAAGACGAATATATCTTAGTGGTATGTACTTAGCGGCGTAAAAAATGTGCGGAAGCCTGCATATCATAGAAATATTAACGCCACCTATCAGTTCCAGACTTCTTGATTTTCTACCGACTACTCAATTCGACTGTATGTTCTTTTTTGTTTTTTTTTAATGTGTTTTACCTCTTTTTTTCTGGGTGAACCGATTTCAATGATTATTTCTCTTATTTGAAAGCTGGTGCTTCACAAGTGGTGGCATATAAATTTGATCAAGGTCTTACCAATAGCTTTTGAGTTATTCTTAATAATTCATATGAAGTCAGTAGTGATTCTGATAGATACTGATTGGTCAATAAGTTTTCGGTATAGGACACTTATCAGTGAGCTATAGTAATGCGTGGTGCCAAGGCCAGAAAAAACTAAATTAAAAACTATACCCAATTTTTTTTTCAAATTTCACATTTGGCAGGAATTTGATTCATATGCAAAATTGAGAAACTCGAAATTCGTGCGGTTATTAAATATTTCTGCATGAAATTTTTTTCTACAAAAATTGTTTTCTAGAACTGCAGTCTACTTTGGCGGACAATGCTCGATCTTATTCTTCAGTGGCATACTGGTGTGTTAAGATTTTAAATGCGGGAGAATCGCCCGCAGCGACCACACGCTCATTCCGGGCGGCCAACAATGGCCGCTATGGAAGGAAACGTTAAAGAAAATCGAAGAAATTGTTAAGCTAGATCGACGTGTGAATAGTTTCAAATTCAGTTCAGTTTATTTGAATTTTAACGTTAAAAATAAAAAAAGGAGCCGCGCGCTGGGTTTCTCGAACGTTAACAGAAGCCAAAAAAAAAATATTTGACATTTCAAAGCTAAATTTAGTAATAATTGAAGAAGATGCAGATTATTTCTGCGCACGTTTCACAGCCGTAGATAAAACGTGAGTACATAATGTTGACCCGGAGACGAAAAACAAAAGCAAGATGTGGAAAAAACCGTCTTGCCCGCTAGCCAAAATATTCAAAGTGTCTGCGTCCGCTGTAAAAATAATGACCTCTGTCTTCTGGGATGCGGAAGGTATAATAATGACCGACTATTTAAGTAAAGGGGAGACAATAACCGGAGATAATTGCGCATCATTAATCAAAAAACTTCACGAAGAACCAAAGAATAAACGTCGAGGAAAATTGCGTACTGGAGTGCTCATCATAATAATGCCCCTTCTCATCGATCTGATGTAGCAGGTGCTGCTATCCGGAATTGCCGGGTTTCAGTTGATGCAACACCTACTCTATACTATATATCTATCTGTTCTCCGGACCTACATATCTCCGAGTGATTTACACCTTTTCAACTCACCTGAAAAAGCACTTATAAAATTCGACTGCGACGATGAGGTGATGTATGCTGTAGAGGCCTTTTCGAGTCCTAGGATCAAGCCTTTTTTTCCAAGGGAATTAGCCAACTTGCTAAACGCTATTCAAGATATATTAGCTTAATAGGCGATTACGTTGAAAAATAAATATCCTAGAGTTTCATTGCGTTTCCAAAAACTTATTGATCAACATATTATACTGTGGATATGAATAATTTTGATCCATAAATATACAATTTGTTACTAATTAGGTTTGACAGGCAGATCGTTGACCGATATGCTAGAGCCACCTTTGAAGTTGCCACCCGTCGCCATTTTGTATATTTCACATCTGGTGTAAATTAGACGGTATCGCCATCTATCGGAAGCCAAATATTATTTTAGCATTTTCCATAGTCGCCTATTACGACATCCTCGGGCTGAAATCAGGTAATGTATTCTCCATCCACCGCACGACAAAAAGTATTGATAATAGTTGAATATAATAATTTAAAATTAATAATTTTGTACAACCGACTTCAATATAAATTATTAAGAATAACTCAAAAACTATTGGTCGGACCTTGATCAAATTTACATGAGACCATATGGGAAGCATCTGCTTTCAAGTAAAGAAAGAATCATCGAAATCGGTTCACGCAGCAAAAAGTTATGAGGTAACACACATAAAAAAAACCGAATTGAGTACCGGCTCCTTTTTGAAGTCGGTAGAAAAATAATAAATTATATACTAATGACCAAATTTTCATCACGGCAGCCGATCTTAACGGAGACGAGCAATGTACTCAGGACAGGAGTATAGTTTCCGAGTGTATACGCAAGCACAGGTGCATTTTATATTCCCCCATTCTCATAGTCCGATGGTACGGTAATCCGACACAACCGCAGAGAGATCAGGCGCAGGTTTTACGTGTTTTTCGAAGCACGAAGGTGTAACATAGTCAAATTCCTGGCTCTGGGTTGCTACTGAGAATTTCTTAGTAGAAAAGCCCAATAACCAATTGACCTCATGATCCTAAACCGAGTTAATGACCACCAAACCAACGAGACAGTCGCTTAAATTAATAATTGAATATTATTACTAACACGGCGTCGTTGCTTGCGTCAAATCGCAAAACGGTAAAGCCGACGTCACGTCCGCGCTGGATGGCACTTTTTGCAAGCGCATGAATAATCTCCTTGCGTTGAGGTGTGTCCGGAGGCACGATCAAAATAACCTTGAAACGTTAGTGAATTAAAAAAAACACATGCATGAGTGTCGTGGAACACTCGGTTGGAACGAAGTTCCTTATTATTGATAAACGTACTCGTATTATATTGTTGATTAACAAATACAAAAAAATGTATTAATAGCGTCTATTAAAATGAAGCGTCATTTAAAATAAAATACACTATGACGACAAAATCTTAAATTTTTTGTCGCCAAGCTCCCATCCGCCAAACCAGTACCGTCCGATAAGGAACTTCGATCCAATATAAGATTATATACCTAAGACATTTTACTTGGTACAGCCATCCTGCAGCTATATTATATTTCCAGCACGAATGGGTCAGTTTGACCGTGGAAGGACCACGCTATCACAAATAGCAGCTAAATGCTGTTGTGTTTCGTAGATGGTTAGTGTTGAGAACCGGAGCACCTTTTCAGGGGAAACGAGACATTCCATCTTAGTCCTCAACGCAGATGCAGTCCTCCTAGATGGAGATGTCTATGGGCCTCAGTAACCATTTACCATCAGGTGGACTTTGTACTCGCTTGTCACCTTTATTATATATATATATATATACACACATATATATATATATATATATACAGGGTATTTTTGGAACGCTCCCGAAAACTAAGACAGGCGACAGCACCAAGTATACCTTTGATCATGGGTCATAAATAAATTTGATCCTGATGAAAAAAAAAACATATTTTTACAACGTTTTATTAGCTTTATTCACGCGTCATCATGTTAGTACAGCTAAATGAAACGATAATTTCATAAAAAAAATCATGAAAAGACTGAAACATAAAACCAGCAGTGGAAACTGAATTGATATCACCTGACTAATGGAGGTTAATGTACGCGCGAACGGTGAAAAAAGAACGCTGGCCTTGAACTTGGGCACTGAGCGATTTATCACATATTGGCCAGTATTACTGTGCCTGCATGCTATTGGTTCCCGCGCTTTGTTCGCTCCAAAAATACAGTCGCATACACAGCTTACTTTGCGACTCGCGACGATGTTTTAAAAAGGAAGGAAAAAAAATTATTTATATCTATTGTTTTATGACTAAACTAGTGAACAAAAAGGTAAATATGATAGGAGAAGGTGAATGGGGAAAATTGTGCAGTAAAGTTAAAATTGTTGAGGAAGAATACCGAAAAAATTACCATGTGATCGACCTGATGACGGAAGCTCAAGCGAAGATGAAAGTAATGATGAAGTAGCATCCAGTAACACCAACACACCATCAACATCTGGCTTCCATGTGACCCAAGACGTCATAATGGACGGCGTGTCACCCTTAGCTTAAGTTTCTTTGTTACAAACTACTTTATATTTTACGATAGAAATAACAAACAATGCTCAAGTAAACATTATCTATTTTTAATTCCCACCTCTTCCAAAGTTCTAAGTAGCTAGTAAAACACCTATTATGATTCTACAATAAAACAATTAATTACTATAATATTATAAAACAATAGCCCAATACCATGTAGTACTTTAGAACGCGACTGTACCCACACTCACTCGAAAAAAGGGCGCATGTAACAATTTTCGAATAAATGAGTTAAATATACCATTCGACTCATGATAAGAAGACGCATCTACTAAATTTTTTTAATATTCACTAATATCAATATTTTAGAAATTATCGTCAGAATTTTAGACGTAGCTGTTGATCACAGATGACATTTTATTAGTAGAAAAGACTTATACAAATTCAACATAAAAGAAAAGACTTATTTAACCAGTTGCTACGTCATCTTTAACAATATTTGCATCGATTACTTAAATTTAAATTATTCTTGTCTTATTATTTTATATCTTATTATTAAGAGCTTATATCTTATTATTAAGAGCTGGTGTTTCACATGTGGTCCCATATAAATTTGATCGAGGTCAGACCAATAGTTTTTGAGTTATCCTTAATTATTTATATTAAAAGTCGGTTGTACAAATGTTTTAATTTTTAATTATTATCGTAGTAAGTCTTGTATGATATCCCCTTTAAAATCATTACTCAAGAGTTGCGGGTTGTTATTTTTTGTGTCTCACTACTAATGCTTTTCTAATATTTACTAAGAAAAAAGTAGTAAATTACTATTAGCGTCCTCTCAACTTCAAATGACCTTTCCAAAATATGTAAAAATGTTAAATGAATGGTAGTTTTGTTTTATTTATTAGGTTGGGAAGACCCAAATAGTTATATGCGTCTTTCCTTCGATGTTTTTGTGTTGCCAGGTGTATTTTTTAATCTAAGATGAAAAGGAAAATTCGTTTTATTTAAATAAATAAACAAATTTAAAAAAAAATAAGTTCGTCCTTAAAATCTTCATGTCTCTACGTATATATTTCAATATAGATACCTTTTAATATACTTTAGACACGGGGTCTGAAAGAAAAATTCATCGATTTATTTTTTATTTCCATTTTACGTTTTTGTTAGTTACTTCCTTTTTTATTATGACGGCAGAATGCCTAACCCTGTCGCCTCACGCTTGTGACGCAGTTCGTTCGTTTTAGTTTTTGAGACAGTTGATTTTGTACACGCGTGCGCGAGCGACAGTTCAATCGTTTTGTTTAATAAATTTACTTGTGATTACGTGTTGATATTAAAGTTTTTGTTACGTTTTTGGATTCTTTTTTGTTTTAATAATGCCTAACGCGTACGTTTATAGTGGTTATTATACTGCCGTTGGTTATTATATCAGCAACAACGTGTGCCTGGTTCCATTGAGCACATTATCTGGACGGATGAGTCGACATTTACCAGAAACGGCCTGTGGAACCGAAGAAATACACACGTGTATTCAGAGGTTAACCCGCACGCTGTTCGACAAACCGGGCACCAAACCCGATGGTCGGTTAACGTATGGACAGGTTTATTTAAGGATCGCATACTGGGACCAGTGTTTCTGCCAGAGCGACTGAACGGACAGCGATACCTAAACTTTATAATTGAACAGTTGGTTGACATTTTAAACGACCTATCGTTGGCTGAATATCGCCGCACATAGTTCCAACATGATGGTGCCCCTCCACATTTCGTGAGGTTCGTCCGTGAGCGCCTCAATGAGCTATTTGATGATCGCTGGATCGGCAGACTAGGACCACACGCTTGCCCACCTCGCTCACCAGATCTGACTCCGTTAGACTTCTTTTTGTGGGGTATGTGAAAGAAAGGGTTTTTAATCGTGAATGTGATAGTGCTGAAGAAATGCGCCAAAGGATCGTGGATGCTTTCGAGAAACTACGTACGGACTGTGTCGAAGACCACACGATGATGCCCCGCCTGCACCCAAGTCTGCCTTGAAATGAATGGAGCACAATTTGAGCCGCATCTCATAAGACCACGGAGGATTTAGAGCAGTAAGCTGTTTCATAACTATTTTTTTTTTAAAAACTTAGTACTAGACTAATCTGAATAGGTACATAACTGAATACACGAGAATAATAAACATACCTACACGATGAATAAAAACGCATGACTCAAACCTTGGTTACATTTCATTTAAGTATTTCTTCATTAGCGGGGAATCGAACCAGTTATTTGGGTTATTTAACCTGTAAATTCGGATTAAAGTGGCTACGTGGAGATAAGCACAGTGGCAAAATAGTAGGTTAAGTAGATAAGTTAGGTATTTAGACACGTGTTGTAAATTATTAGGTATTGTGGGAAGGCCCGCTAGTTGCGGGCCGCGCGAATTTGTGTTCGCGCGTACATTGACCTTTATCTAGCTCAGGTCAGGTGATATCAATTCAGTCATTCCACTGCTGGTTTTATGTTTCAGTATTTTCATGATATTTTTTATGAAATTATCGTTTCATTTAGCTGTACTAACATGATGGCGCGTGAATAAAGCTAATAAAACCTTGTAAAAAGATGATTTTTTTTTCATCAGGATCGAATTTATTTGTGACCCATGATCAAAGGTATACTTGGTGTTGTCGCCTGTCTTAGTTTTCGGGAGCGTTCCAAAAACACCCTGTATATATATATATAATCCACTGCTAGTCCTAGGTCTCTTTTATACTAGAAGACTTTGCCATTATCGCTACATTTTGCAAGTGGAACAGATGTATCGGATTTGCCACTTTCATAATAATGTTAATAATATTGGAGTTTAATAAAACTTAAACAACACGCATTGATCATGTGAGGGATCATTCTGGTGAGAATGTCTGTAATCGGTACTAAATATGTCTGCGATATTTCAGATTATTAAAATGTCCGAAAGTGGTTGAAAAAATGAAATAAAAGATACCATTGCATTAATACATACATACAACAATACCTGCCAGAAATGTTTTTAAAAGAAAACTATATGAGTATGTATATCCGTAGCCTACAAAGTTGAGCCAACTTACTTTATATGTTTATAGTGATTTATATATACATTTCTTGAGATAATATCTATAAATGTGTGTATTTATTTATATATGTATATGAATTATATATATTTCATATATATATATATATATATATATATATATATATATATATATATATACTAGCTATAACATATATATATATATATATATATATATATACTAGCTGGTCCCCGCGACTTCGTTCGCGTGTTAGGGTTTTTATGTTTTTGCGCTTTCTAAAATAAAAGTAGCCTAAGTTACTCCTTATGAAATCAACTATCTGCCAGTGAAAGTCCCGTCAAAATCGGTCCAGCCGTTTCGGAGATTACCCGGAACAAACAGACAGACAGACAGACAGACAGACAAAAATTTTAAAAATTGTATTTTAGTTATAGGTACCGTATTTACTTTCATATGCATTTAGTAAAAAACTGTAATTTTGACATTACAAACAGACACTTCAATTTTATTTATTTGTATATATATATATATATATATATATATATATATATATATATATATATATATATATATATATATATATATATGTGTGTATATTTTATGTATGTGTTGCATGTATATATTTGAACTGAATTATATTATGACAACTTAACTGCCCAAACTCACTCTCTGTTCTACCCAAGGTTAGCTGGTATAGAATGCCATGTAGCATTAAGCTCGCCTTTTGTACAAATATTTGGTGCAATAAAGAATAAATAAATAAATAAATACATATATCAAAATATCCCCCCGATCGAAATTGGATCACAGCGGCCAGTCTCAATGGAGACTAGCTACATATATATGCAGGATTGAATTATAGTGCACGTGTGTATGCGCAAGCACAGGTGGACTCTATTATATGTAGGTATTTTTTGTTTGGAAGGTGTCTTAATCGAGTGTTCTTAGCTGTTCAAGAAAAATCTGTTGAACCGTTTGAATATCATCAGCTCTTTTGGATTCGGGAGTTTTTTTTTTAATTTTTAATTTAAGTTATTAGGATAACAATCTGGTACATCTGCCACAAGTTTTTTTTTAAAGTAATTTGATTTTTATATGTTTTGTAGTTCTAATGTAAACGAATAAAATTTTCCCTCGCTCTCATAGTGCGATGGGACCGTAATCTGTCACAACTGGAGAGAGTTACTTATCATCATCATCATCATTACAGCCCTTCACAAGTCCACTGCTGAACATAGGCCTCCCCCAAAGAATGCCACAAAGCACGATCCTGAGCCACCTGCATCCATCGACTTCCTGCACGTCTTACCAGGTCGTCACTCCATCTCGTGGACGCCCTACACTTCGCCTACCGGTACGAGGCTGCCACTCGAGAACCTTTCTTCCCCATCGGTTGTCGGTTCTTCGAGCTATATGGCCGGCCCACTGCCACTTCAGCTTACTAATCCGTTGGGCTATGTCGGTTACTTTGGTTCTACTGCGGATATCCTCATTCCTAAGTTTATCACGCAGATAAACTCCGAGCATAGCCCTCTCCATAGCTCGCTGAGTGACCTTGAGCTTCCTCATACGGCCAGCACTGAAGGACCACGTCTCAGTTCCGTAAGTCATCACTGGCAACACGCACTGGTATAGTTCCTTATAAGTTAAATTAATTAGTGATTACGAAACAGAATTACATGCAAGGAGAAAGTAAAAAAAACTTTCAGTGTCAAAAATTATTGTTAAATGAGGTAAGTATAACTTCGACAATTGATAAAGGTCCTATTATTATTAAATAATAAAGTATTTGACCGATTAATGGCCGTGTAGTGGGTGTCGTTAGAGGCGACAGAAAGAAACAAACCAGGTCTCCATAACGGCAACTAGAAAATAAAAAGCTGCTGTTGCCAACCCGCCACAGAAACGTGGCGACTATGGCATATATGCCCCATAATATACGGCAATCTTTGGGTAGGCTCATGTTTAGCTGTGAACCTTGTAAATTTAAAAAAAAATATAATGAAAGAAGTAAAAAAAAGAATTTGGGGTTATCATGATGTAAGGGGAATGAAAAAACCCAAACCAACCCAGAAACAATTCTAATCAAAGATAGGAGACTCACCAGAAATCTCGTATCGATGCAATCGATCCCCTGCCAAACGTGGTTATTATGGAAAATTCTCTTTTCAATGGACGATATCAGACTTTTTGAATCGGGAATACATATTACCTGCAAGATACTATTCACTTGATATTTCTCGTGTAGAGCGGGCGCACGAAGACAGTGCGCGGTGAACATCAAAAGCTGGCGTGAACGCGGACACGTCACGCAACGTGCCCACTTCTCTAGTATCGTGGCGTCCCATTTGCACATCGTCATGCCGAGGGCCAGAGCGCGGATTTTAGACCAGTTGTGCTTGGACTCTTGGCGCTCGGCCAGCATCGAATGTCCTGTTATAAATTACCTTATTTAAAAGTGGTATTACAATAAATTTGACTTTTTAAAATTGTTAGATTTTTTGCAACATTGCACGCTGGGTGGTAGAATTATTAAGAAGCTTATCGCCTGATCATGCGGCATACCTGATGGTAAGTGCCGCCCATGAACAACTGCAACACCAGGGCTATCGTAAGTGCCGGCGTTTTAAAAAGGAGTAAGCTCGTTTCTTGAAGGTCCCTAAATCATATACAAAGACGTCAAGCGGGGACAAAACTTCTAGTAAAGTGCACAGTGAATGTCAACGATACTATCCAGTATCGTAGATGGTGTGGATAGTATCATTGACTTTCTTCAATCATTGATGCTAATAGATAACAATAAAAGTGACTGAAATTAATGACAAGTCACGTGATTTTGCGTTGAGGTACGTCATCTCATTTGTTTTTATAGTTTTCTATCGGCATTAACGATTGTAGAAAGTCAAGTTGTTATCGTAAAAGTTCGCACAAAATGGTGGCTTTTGAAATAGGATATGGTACTCCTGGCAGATGACGGGAAGTAGCATCACGATATTTCAATATTTACTACAAAGTGATTAATATAATCAGGCGTTACTTTGCGAAAACAAAGATGTTAAAAATTAATTTTCGCCTCTAAAAGAGGTATTATCAAGACTAGAATCTGCATAGGCTGATCGTGGCCAGACATACCACATGTCATATTATTGACGTTGATGTTTCTTTCCTAGTGTAGTGGTGTTGAGATTACTTTTGACGACGAAATTGCACGCAATTAAGGAAGGCCGGGAGGTGCTCTTCAAACTAGGCAAGACACATCACTTTATTGGAACGAAATTCCTTATCGGACGGTACGGGTTTGGTGGATGGGAGCTAGGCGACAAAAAGTGTAAGACTTTTTCGTCACTACCCCTTGTGTCATAGTGCAGACGGCCATGGCGGCGAAATAAGGAAGTGAGATGGAATAATATCCACCTCCCTCGCACTTTTTGTCATCTTGCCATGAAAGAAATATTATTTTATTTCAAATGACGCTTCATTTTAATAGACGCTAGTAATCCATTTATTTGTATTTGTTAATCAATAATATAATACCTACGTTTATCAATAATAATATACTAGGTAAGGAACTTCGTCCCAACCGAGTGTTCCACGACACCTTTGCTAATTCATTTTTTAACATCTGTAATTCATTACAACATATCCGGAATGATCATCCTATTACAGCGCGAGAAATCAAACTAAGCGTACCTTGTGCCAATGCGCGGGAGACATAGTCACCTAAAACAATCTGCGAGGCGTTCGAGGGAGCAGTGAGTCCGGGCCAGAATGCGCGCGTGTGTTCGTGGATGAACCTCAGCACTCTTGGAACGTCTGCGGGTCTAGCGCGGCGCACTCTGATGTGTTCATTATTTATCGTACTCTGCGCCTGAAAAGTAGAAACAAATTTTCTAGGCAACATTTCTATACAGAAATGTTTGTTCCCATACGGGAGCCCATCTGCTTGGTTTTGTAGTATCTGACCGTATAGTGGCGATGTAAGAATATCCATTACTCCATGTCATCCCGTGGGTATCGTAAGAGTCAACAGAGGGAAATAAACCAGAGACAGCAGCGTCTTCCTAATCATAACTAGAAAATAAACAATACAGCGGTTGCCAACTCTCTTGCGAAGTGTGGTAAATATGACAAATATAAGGAAATCTATGGGGGAGACCTATGTTTGGCATTGGATTTTTAAGAGGCAAAAACCGTAACTTTTTTTTTATAGGTTAGGGAGACAAACGAGCACACAGTCCATCTGACGGTAAGAGGTTGCTGTGGCCCATAGACATCTACATTTATCCTCGTTTGCTAATTAAAATGCAGATGCGTTGTCACCCGTGAGGACTAAGATGGAATGGCTCTTTTCCAATAAAAAGGGTCTCCGGTTCTCTACACTCACCATACGAAATACACAGCAGTGTTAAGCTGCTATTTTAAGCTGGTATTCTGTGAGAGCGTGGTCCTTCCTCGGTCAAGCCGACCCAACGTGCTACAACTATACTACTAATATAGCTGCAGCATGGCTCTACCACGTTTGACCTTTCGGCCATAGAGGCCATAACTTTAGACAAGATACTAATAAAAACCCCCCTGTCTTGAAACCACCTTGTTGTTCTGTCGCTATCATTTCATTCACTGCTGAATTCCAGTTCGAAGAAAAAGTGTTTTTACAGGTTATGGAGCAATCTATTTTAGTATTTAGGGTGATACTGCACCTATAGTTTTTGTAGAGATATCTATGTTACCCCATTAAAAGCACGAAGGTAACAAAAATGGCAGACTCCAATTTCATAAACAAAAGATTTCAAATAGCACTTCTTTCTATGTCTTATACCTACTACATATTTTCGAACCTAATATATTATAGAACTAAAGTGTAGGTAGGAGAAGTCTTTTTAGGGTACCAATACCTGATCTAGAGGGTAATTACCCATTTCCTTCGGCAACGTAACTATGTATTGCAGTACTAATGTGCACTTATCAGGCAAAAGTATTTGGTCGCTTTTTTAACTCACTTGTATGTTCTTGTCCTGTATGTATGTATGTTATGTGATATCTCCGTTAATAATAATAATAGTCATTTATTTCAGGCTTTTTTACACCCATTACAAATATCAATAAATGTTAAATGTTAAAAACAAAAGGAAAATATAATAATGAGGATACAATAAATAAGATAAATAAAAGACAACTCAACTGTAATCATAGGTTAATACTAAAAATACTAAAATTGCCCCCAAAAGGGAGTTCGTTCTATCTTTTTACAGTTGTTGTCGCGATGCACGGCACGCCAATATTGTAGTATAGGATTCTCTGGGCACTCACCCTGAGTATCTCATTCTTGGAATCACGGATGCGGGACCAAAAAGCTGCAACCCGAGATCTAATAACGGCGAAGTAATCGGGCACCCCAGCGTTGGCAACATGCTCGATGCACTGCAGTATTTAATCAGTTTCATAAGAATACGGAATGCATTATTATACTGCCTTCTAATACTGCTACGTGAATTTTTTTTACTGTCCAACCAAAGCTGACAAGTATGTCTCTAACAGTGCAAAAATATATTAGGGGCGCACAATCGTATTGAGAAAAAAATGCCTTATTTAAGTCATTTTAGAATTTTAGTATTTTGTAAAATTAACAATTTTAATTTCCAGATAGTCTCCGATTGTTCGTTCGTTGCGTCCCTCGCTGTCAGTGCTTTATATGAGAAAAGATTCAAAAAGAAAGTAATCACTTCCATTATATATCCTAAGAATAAAAACAAAGACCCTGTGTACAACCCCTTCGGTAAATATATGGTGAAGCTACATCTTAATGGAGTAAGACGAAAGGTAAGATTAAAAATTGTACAATTTCTCAGAATAATTTGGTTATGCGCCTTGGCAGAAGCATTGACAATATGCTCTAAACAGGGTCAGCCTTGCCTTGGGAATACACCGCGCAAACCGGCGTGCGAGCATATTACACCGCACAACCAGAGCCCTCCTTTCACGTTCTATATCGTGGTTATCACGCAAATCCTCAGTCAGGATATGCCCCAGGTATCTGAATAGACTCACTCTTGCAACAGCTTCACCGTCCAGAAATGCTAACGGAATCCTCTCCGGGCCTCTGCCCGAGTGAAACACCATCATCTGCGTTTTATTAACATTATACTTCAGACCATGATCCCGCGCATAATGCTCGCATATGGCTAAGTCCCCTGATTGAGGGACTCAGTAGCACCATGTCGTCAGCGAAGCTGAGATTATTCAGACAAATTGTACCCATGTGACAGCCAATTTTTGTACTTCTAAGTTTTCTCAATCAGGTCGTTTACGTATAAGCTAAATAGATCCGGAGAGATCAGCCCACCTTGACGTACGCCACACTCTAATGTATAATCGTTAGAGATGGCGTCTCCCCATTTCACAAAGTGTGTCTGGTTCCCGTACCAGTATCTCAACAGATCCACAGTCTTTCTGGGTACATTTGATGCTATTAGTTTATGCCATAGTCGCTGATAGTTAACTAGATCAAAGGCACGACTAAGGTCTAAAAAGCAAGCATACACAGGTGTAACTTTATTTATATAGTAGTTAACTGTCGACTTAAGACTGAAGATTGCAGAGTCCGTTGAAAGTTCGGAACGAAAACCAAACTGTGTCGTCAATCCTAATGTTGTTGCTTATACTCGGGTGTAATAGCTTTCCCAAAATTTTATCTATAATAGTCCCTAAAGAAATGGGCCGGTAGTTTTTAAGACTAGAAAGGTCACCGGATTTATTTTTAGGGATTGGAACCACCACCGCTCGCATGAGATTTTTCGGCAAATATCCAGAATTGACACAAAACGTAAATAATTCTGACAAAATACTATAAATGTCCAAACCTGCAAATAAAATATGTTCTGAACTCAATCTATCAAAAACCTGGGGCTTTACCCCTTTTCATTTTTTGAACCACTTTTTGTACAACGTCCGGTGTAAATAACGAGGTAGCTTCCTCAGTACTTTTAATATCAACGGGCATAGCAACATACTACTGTATATTTCTAGTTGACAAGGGATCAACTTTGAAGTGGTGCGAATACAAGTCGGCAATTGACTTTGGTTCGTGCACACCATTTATACTCGCAGGTAAGTTAGATTTATAGTCAAGATGTTAAGTTGCTTTCCAAAATTTAACAAAATTTTTATCTGCATAATGTGAGGCCAATATGTCCATTGTTATCTGATCGTCGTTGTTCTGGCACCACCTCAACTTACTTTTAAAAACTCTACGACTCTCCACCATGTTTTTATAAATCTCACCAGACTCAGGTTTCGAACCGATTTTATTGATCCTGTTTCATTTAATACGTTATACTTCAGGTGTGGTATTTATTTAAATATGGACGCAAAAATCCACTCCTTTGCGTGGAAAAATAGGGGACATTGTTTAAAGTGTCTTTGTGATATTCTTTAGTTTACACGAAAGTGATGAAAAATTAAGCTTTTAATACTTTAATAATAATAATCTTTATTTTCCATATATATATAAACTACAAAGGAATATAATATATATTAACAGTGGTAGAGCCACGCGGCAGCTTTTGCTGTCGCACGGATGGGCCAGCTCGAACCGGGGTGGTACCACGACCTCACAGAAAACCAGCGTGAAGTAGAGGTTTACCTCTGCGTTTCGCTTGGTGAGTGCAGGTGGCCGGAGGCCCTTTTTACTGGAAATGAGGCATTCCATCTTAGTCCTCACGGGTGACAACGCATCTACATTTTGATTTCTAATAGAGGATAGATGTAGATGTCTATGGGCCGCAGCAACCACTTACCATCACGTGGACTGTGTGCTCGTTTGTCACCCTTATCCTATAAAAAAAAATATTTCACTATTCACTTACCACAACATGCGAAGTGTCCTTTTTAGGAGTATCAGCATAAGTTCGTGCGACTGTCCTGTTAGCAACCTTTTGGTTAGGTTTTTTTAGGTAGGCTGATCCCACTGAGAATGTCACGTGGCGAATTACGGTGAACATGACGGGGCAAACGCGTTTAACGGGCAAAAGTCAGAAAATTGAATTTCATTGTTTTGGTTTGCGGTTTGAGGTTTGCGGTTGCATTTTTGTGGTCTTTATTACTGTTTATTTAACATTATTGTGCATATTGTAAGTTACCTGACATTATGACGGTAAAAACGTCATTTGATTGTTATTTTTTTATTAGAATGCCAGTATACGTGTATTTCAAACAAAGTTCGAAAAATTATTTTGTAGGAGTTAAATAAAAACAGTCATATTACATATTATTGATAATTTTTTTTTAATTTTGTAAAATGATTAAAAAAGAGTGACAATGAGGACTAATAATCTTTCGCTTCCCAGATGTCGCTAGTTGATACTGAGGTGAAGTTTGTTGTTAGACAATGTCATTTAATTGAGAAGATAGTTTTAAATAAAAGTCTATTAGTTTTTAAAGTATTATATTAATACATAAAACAATGCCTCGGTGGTTTGCTCTTTAATATTCTGCACATCTCTAACCCTTTTTTAATTTTTCTACTTTTTTGAATATCTGTGGTTTGGTTTATTTATTTATAATCTAATTAATATAAAATTTAACTAATAGTACAAAAAGAAACCTTAACGTTTGCATTTTTCGAACAAAGGAACTTTCCCGCTATGGTATCCTTAATAAATTGCAAATGTACCTCATTATTTAAGTGGCGCCGCCCTGGTGGCGGAAAGAGTCGTGGATGCCCCCATTATTGAACATAAGCATTTAGAGAATTGTTTTTATTTCATGTTTATCTGTTCAATCCATCAAACTGACTGACTTACTTATACAAGTATGCTGGACTGTCTATACACCATAGAGTGCAAGGAAGACCCTATATAAGAAAAGTGTCCCTAAAACGCGTCCAATAAGGGTGGCGCTGTAGTAGCATAGGATAAATAAGAAAAAAGCGCCAAAAGTAATTAGAATAAGATGGAGAAATAAACAAGGACCGACCATTCCGCTTGGTTTTGTACTACGTAAATAGTTGAGATTTTGTATACTGGCATTTTACTAACTATTCTTACTCTAATCATGAAATTTTTTAAATATTTGAATTCAGCTGACTTCACTCCGTTCACAACAGCTACCTTCATATCGTAGTTTTTCAGAAGCCAGCGCTATTGTGGTAGGTTTTGGAACCTCTATTTTCAGTAAATAGTAGGATACTTTTTCAACTTTCGCCCCTTATATGATGGTTCTCCATGTACTCTACACTCCATAATTTTGGCGTTGATGGCAGAAGTGAGCGTCCATGGAACTACTAATAAAGATAGGACAGTGTGACAAAATATATTGAAAAACTTCTATACCCAGGCCTACCATTTTATTTATGTACCATTTAATATAATGCCATACAATGAAAAAAAAATCAATTAAAAATTATGTCATAGATACAAGCTTTATACCACATATAAAACAAAAAAAAAACTGGCCAAGTGCGGGTCGGGCCACGCACAATGTACAGGTAGGGTTCAGTAGTTGCCCGTTACAATACGGAAATTTAGAAGGGACTTCTTAATATTATGGGCATATTAAGTGAGTTGATGGGAGATTTCGATACATCTTCTCGTCAGGCATGCCCTAAAATATCAAAACAAGATATTACAATTAGTGCGTATTGCCAATCATATCCTATGTATCTAAGACTGCATGATGAGATGTAGTATCCTTCACCGCTGGCCGTATGAGGTCGCTCAATGTTGCTCAGAAAGCTATGGAGAGGGCTATGCTCGAGGTTTCTCTGTGTGATAGATTTAAAAATAAGGATATCCCTTATTCGCAGAAGAACCAGAGCAACCGATAAAGCACAACGGATCAACGGATTAGTAAGCTGAAGTGGCAATGGGCCGGTCATATAGCTCGAAGAATCGACAACCCATCGGTTCCCCATCGGGAAGAAAGGATCTCGAGTGGCAGCCTTGTACCGTTAGACGAAGTGTAGAGCGTTCCCCACTAGATGGAGTGCCAAACTGGTAAGACAGCCAGGAAGTCGATGGATACAGGTGGCTTTATGGCATTTCTTGGAGGAGGCCTATATTCAACAATGGACTTGTGAAGGGCTGTAATGATGACAATAAAATATAAGACAATAAGATAAAGTGAGTTCATGGTTTGACCATGATTTGATCATTAAAAATAATGCATTCACATGCCAAGTCCGTACAAAGATGGTCATATTCACTATCCATCTATTAGTTCCCCGCAGTAGAACCCTAAGATATACATGACCATAACGAACCTTCCCGTAAACCATCACTGCCCTTAACTGTTCTGAGGGTCGCCCGCATAAAACAATAGTACCACAAATGAAATTGTATGAAGCTGTATGAATGTATGAATACTGTGAATGAAGCCTACAATCAAACTATCAACTAAAAAATAAGCGAAAGTGGCATGTTAGGATCGGTCTCTTGACGATCGATAGCTATAGTAGTAATGTATAATTATATTGCTGGTTTCCTTCAAAAAATATTTATTTTTTAGTTTACAATCACAGACACAGTTTCAGATAATTTTTTAAGGAATTATAACGAAGGTTTTACAATTCAAGTGCATTTTAGAAGTTGGTCGACTTGTTACTCGTTAACTTGTAAGACTACTTAGCTGAAAAATGTAATAGTTTTCCTTTTATTTTCATTATATATATTTTACTATCGTGCATACTTTTCAAATTTCCAAAAACAGCGATTAAGTTGGTAGGGGGTGGGGACATATGGCTCTCGAAATATTTCGCAAACGGACTCCTGAATCGTAAAACTGTTGTTCAATACCCAATATTTTTTTTATAATAAGGGATCCATGTTGTTTAAAAACCGTAAAAACCCTAAAAATCGACGCTGCTTTAGTCTATTTATGTTTTTATTCGTAACTATAGAACGGGTCTTGTTACGGGTCTCACCATTAGGTATGTATGTTTCAATCGAGAGATTTAACAAGATCCAATGAATAGGAAAAACTGGAGTAGGTAACTACAAAATAAAAATAAACATAATTATGTAAAGAATTTATTGTTAACCATTCATTTAATCCTCGTAATAAAGAAAATCAAATGCCAAAATATTTGCCTATTTCAATAATATCTATAGGTACAATTAGAATTTCACAAATTAAAATTATATTAATAAGTAATACCATACTACAAATCATTGACGTTATAATCAATTTGCTTCGAACCTCAATTCACAAGTTTATACTTCTTAGTCACAGTTTTAGTATACAGAAAGTTGAAAAGCTTAAATTTTTTTTTATAGAATAGGGTGACAAACGAGCACACAGACCACCTGATGGTAAATGGTTGCTGTGGCCCATAGATCCATCCATCCTCGCTTGCGAATCAAAATGCAGATGCGTTGTCACCCGTGAGGGCTAAGATGGAATGCCTCGTTTCCAGTAAAAAGGGTCTCCGGTTCTCTACACTCACCATACGAAACACAGCAGTTTTAAGCTGCTATTTTACGCTGGTATTCTGTGAGAGCGTGGTCCTTCCCCGGTCGAGTCGACCCATTCGTGCTACAACTATACTACTAATATAGCTGCAGCATGGCTCTACCACGTATATATATTTGATAACTATCTGTTGTCAGCTGTCCATTACTGTAAACATATTATATAGGTAGAAAAAAACTTTACTTGGTGAATGTCACCACAAATTTTACATTATCATTCTTACTAAAAATACTTTTTATTATATTACTAACAAGAAACATAACCGAACCACACAACACCCACTCTTTTACTCGTAAAATTTAAAATACTCTTAGACGTTTTGAACAAATCCACGGCCATTTGTAAATTCAAATAATGTCAAATTTAGTTCCGATTACACTCAATGGCGGCGCTTCAAATTGGCACAAAAGTTTTGTAGGGTATATAGCCAGTCCAGCGTATAGTCTGTTCTGTGTATGGTTCGCTAAGATAGTGTCGGTACACCCGGAGGGTCACTTATTATTTTACTTTTTGATATTTTTTACTGTGTTTGTAAATAGATGTTTTTTTCTATTCTGAGAATAAAGTGGAATATTAATTTATTCTTATGGTTATTGTAATAAAATCTCTATATATAAAAATTACGTGTCACTTTGTTTGTCCGCGATGAACTCCTAAACTACTGAACTGATTTCAATGAAATTTTGCACACTGTGTGCAATTTGGTCCAAATTGAGAGATAGGATAGTTTTTATCCTGTTAAGTGACACTCAACATTTTTTTTATTACGAATTTAAGGATTTTTTATATGAAAGGTCGTCGAAAAGGGCAGAACAACGTCTGATTGGCCAGCTAGTAAGAATATAAAATATAAAAATAAGTTGGGTAGCAAAGAACCTTTCACGAAGGCGCGGCGCTTCGTTTTGAAATACCAAATACTCCTTTGGGTGTACGCCACACGCAGTAACTTTTGATGTCGCTGTGGCACCTTTGACAAAATGCGGCACGTGCCAAGGCGGCGCGATACAAAGGCGATCCTATCTAAGCGAACAGACTATACTATATATGGTGGTCAGTGAGGTCAGTGAGATCAATCTGTTATCCGAATCCGAAAAGTGTAAAGTGTTTAATTTATAATCTATTTTAATCAACACTTTTTACTATCATCTATCATCTCAAGTAAATATATAATAATCTATGATTTATCAGTTTCAAAAGACAGATCCAGACAGATCTTGACAGATGTAATTTCTGAATTGTATAATTTTTTAAAATAAATATTAAATAAACCAAAAAAAGAGAAAATAAAATCATGAAACTAATATATCAAATAAAAACAGTCTTATAATAATGTCTTTCTTAAACAATTGCCGAAATATGCTGTTAGCTTTTTTAGAAAGGAATCAACTCGCAGCAACAAATTTGACTCTCAAGAGGTTCAGACGGCGATCACCATGTGATGAGTGCTTATACCCTCCGGATAAAAAACCGGTAAATTTGAATTTTATCTACGCCACCTAGCAGATTTGAACTCATTGGAGATCGTGCTAAGACTTTTTTGACTTTGATTTAATTGTAAAATAAATTTTGTCAGTCTCAAAGCACAAGCGCGAGTTGCCAGCCTATTAATATTCTTTAAAGTTACAGCCTATATGGGATGTCCCACTGCAGGGCAAAAGTCTCCTTTTATTTCTGAGAGAGTTTTAGGGGAAGGAAATGTCCACCGCAATGCCTCAATGCGTGTTGGCGAACTTTACATGTCTTCGAAATATATTTTTTTCTTATTTCTCAAACATGCAGGTTTCCTTTTAATGTCAAGCATGTGGTAAATGACCATTTAAAATTGCAATTAACATTGTCATGGTGGCGGCGGAGATCAAACTCGAGTTGCTCGTGTACTGTCAAATTTTACAGTGAACGCTTAGGCTCTGTCACGCCTCTGCAAGCTACCACGGCTCCATTATCATTAGTATTGTTTATGATACATTAAGTAGAATGTGCAAGAGGAGTTATTTTCTTTATTACCTATCGTCACTTTGCCATCATCTTAAGAAGAATTATTTATGTATCTATTCTCTGGCATATTCCACAGGATAGGCGATGGATTCTCTTACGCTCAAACTACACAGTGACTTCACATTTTCGAAATTCAGAAAACGTCTTATCATTTTATCTATACTCTCATTTATTTCAGTGCTTCGACATCAAAAAAGTGACAGTCGAAAGAGGTAACCCATGCCACTCAAACATGATTCGCTTGTTCCTCTACACCCACTACTGGCCCCGAGAGCCCAGTGTTGTTGGACTGTGGACGCCTCTTAACAGCTCCTATTTGGACATTCTTACGGACAAATACGCTAATTCTGGTAAATAACTACGGATTTAATTTCAGTCAGCGATTGGAATAAGTGGTAACGAGAATGCTGATGTATTAGCATAGCAAGCCATACCGAATGAAATGGAAAGTAACTGTCATTTATTGTATCCTATCAAATGTCCACTCCAATACAACTTGTATAAAACAATATTAAAATTTCATATTGTTGTTATAAATTAGTATATTTTTGTAAACGTCAATGGTCTGTGTTAAAATAATGTGTTTTTTTTATAGGATAAGTGTGACAAACGAGCACACAGTCCACCTGATGGTAAGTGGTTGCTGTAGCCCATAGACATCTACATCTATCCACGATTACGAATCAAAATACAGATGCGTTGTCACCTGTGAGGACTAAGATGGAATGCCTCGTTTCCAGTAAAAAGGGTCTCCAGTTCTCTACACTCACCATACGAAACACAGTAGCATTAAGCTGCTATTTTACGCTGGTATTCTGTGAGAGCGTGGTCCTTACCCGGTCGAGCCGACCCATTCGTGCTACAACTATACTACTAATATAGCTGCAGCATGGCTCTACCACGTATTAGAAGTGCTTCTTTCTTAAGTTGGATTTTACCATAATCCCTTGAATTGCCTCATATTTTTTTGATTGCCTTACGAGTATGGGAGTAATATTTGGTATATTGGCACGATTGACAGGCGTGGTGGCAATCGCAGTTTTTATTGTTTTAAGTCGGGAAGAATATTCACTAGGTGGTAGGACCTATTTCTGCCATTGTTTACTAGTGCTTGCGCTGCCGTGTTCTGATCTCAAAGCAATAGGTCAGACCCAGTATAACTAAAGCTAGACATTCCATCTTCAAATCTCAGTGGTGACAACGCATTTGTAGCTTCTTTGTTTGTTTGGCTGCAGGTATTCATGAACTGCAGTAGTCATTTCCATCAGGTGGACAGTAAGCTTGTCTGTCACTTGAGTTTTACAAAAGAAAGGAAGATGCTATAGTCAATCTCTTGTTTCATTTCTTTCTGGTGCCTCTTACGATACCAACGGGGTGATATGTGGCAATACAGAAGTTAAGAGCTCGCCTTAAAAGCGTATAGGATCTCATTAAAAGGGATTAATTAATGAAAATGTTCACTTATTCTTTATAACTTTGTTGCCCAACACTTCACTTACTGGTACGAGGCTGCCATCTAAGAACTACTACTGTCATTTTGTACAACGGCAGTTAGCTGAAATAGGGACCTAATTTTTGCTACACAAAAACTCTGTTAATTTTCGTTTACTCGTGTTATTTTTTTTTCTTTGTGATGTCAAATAAAGTTTTGTTTATTTATTTCCCTCTATAATCTTTGTGCGTATACATTTCAAGGTGACCGATTTCTGGCATTCGAAAAAATTGATCGTACCGGCGAAACGAAATTGATTGGAGTCAGTGTCGCTAACAAAATATTTCCATGGATGACCGACGAGCTGGAGGAATGGGCACACTTCACATTCTCCAAACCAGAACGGACCAGGATGTACTTCATTGCTCATTGCTTGAAGAATTCCAATTTGATCAACAAATATAATGTTGAGTACGTTTATGAGGTAATTATTTATCCATTAAATATTATTCCTTTCATTTTTTTATAGGATAAGCGTTACAAACACAGTTCACCCGATGGTAAGCGGATGCTGTGGACCAGAGACTTCGACATCTACCCCCCTATGAAGATTCCTTGTTTCCAGTGAAAAGAGTCTCCGGTTTTTTACACTCACCATGCGAAACACAGCAGCTGCTATTTCACGGTGATATTCTGTTATAGCGTGGTCCTGTTTCTGTCAAGCCGTGCTACAACCATAATATCGCTGCAGCGTGGCTCTACCAGGTTTAAAATTTCACCCTGCTGTTCCAAGCTTTTAGACATTTTACGTTCCTAATTTGCCGTGCCGAGTGGTGGCTGTCTTATAGAATCTATCACTCCACCTCATCCTGAGTGTGGCTTAAGATGCGACTATGGGAAGAGTTATAAATACTCCATGGCCTCCGTTAAATAGCTTACCATATACTATCCATCCACTAAAAATATACGTCCAATATAAAAGTCCATTGCTGAACTTAGGCCTTCCCCATAGATTGTCTCGTAGGTGACGCAGTGCATTCGCGTTGGCAACCGCAGTTTATTTTTAATAATTTAGAGTTATTATTAGGAAGATAACGCGCCCATCTCTTGTTTCAGTTTCCCTCTATCGCCTCTAACGACACCCGCGGGAACGATATCAGGTAGTGGATATTCTTACACCACCAATAAACGGTTAACCACCACACTTCATACTATATAATTCCAAATATAAAGTACCTGCACCGGTGACGTATAGTAGCGTAAATGGAGACATCTGGCACTGCGATTGCCAACGTGCTTGCCAAGCGTGGCGATTATGTGAATTATTTTAACTAACTAAATTCTTCCTACAATGGGAGAAGTCTATGTCCAGCATGGAATTGTTATAGGTAAGTAAGAAAGAAGATTTTATTTATTTATTTAAACTTTTATGCACAAAAAATAAAATCGTACACATGGCGGACTTAATGCCTTAAGGCATTTTCTCCAAGTCAAGTATTTCAAGTTTTAACAGTGGTAGAGCTAAGCGGTAGCTTTTGCTGTCGCACGGATGGGCCAGCTCGAACCGGGGTGGTACCACGACCTCACAGAATACCAGCGTGAAGTAGAGGTTTACCTCTGCGTTGCGCTTGGTGAGTGCAGGTGGCCGGAGGCCTAATTCCCCCCCCCCCTCCCATCAACATGGTAGTGGAATTAAATAAAAGACTACCCCAGGAGGGTATCAGCATCCCTGGAGAATCCCTCGCTGAGCATTTACGACCAAACTACTTCACTCTTGAGCGTGGGTGCTCAGGCTGCCCCGCGTATTCTGGCGGGGGGGGGAGGGGGTCAAAATTCCGCTCGCGACTAATACTGCTCGGAGCAAGCGGAGCAATAAGACCAAGGCGACCCTTGTCACGCTATCCGTGAATTTTGCAACATCAGGGGACTTCATTCCAACCTTAACGCTGTCCATTACCATCTAGAGACGGCGAAGCCGGCCTTGCTCTTTTTAACCGAGACTCAGGTGTCCTCTCCGGCTAATACTTCATACCCGGGGTACAAATTGGAACACTCCTTTGTGCCCCGGGCTGCAGTTTGCGTATACGTCAGAGAGGACATCTATTTTCGACGCCTCGGCAGTCTTGAAGGTACGGACCTGTCCATCGTATGGCTGCGCGTAGACAGCGACGACCATCCCCGCGTCTACGGGTGCCTCTATAGGTCCCATAGCGGTAATGCCGACACAGACCGGCTCATCGACCACGTCCAAATGGCTGCAGACTCCGTGCTACAACAGGTCCCATCCGCAGAGATCGTGATACTCGGTGATTTTAACGCCCACCACGCTGAATGGCTTGGTTCTCGTTTAACCGATCATGCGGGTAGATCTGTCTATGACTTTGCTTTGGCATATGGTCTAACACAACTGGTTACTTCGCCTACGCGGATCCCAGATGTGGAAGACCATGTAACTTCCCTGTTGGACCTTCTGCTGAACTCTCATCCGGACGGATATCAGATCTCCGTTGATGCCCCTCTGGGCTCTTCGGACCATTGTCTGATCCGGAGTACGGTGCCACTCACGCTCCAATCGCAGTTGCGATCTGCAGCTAGCCGCCGTGTTTGGCAGTATAGGTCGGCTGATTGGGACGGGATGCGGTCTTTTTTTGCATCGTACCCTTGGGGGGAAGATCCCAGCGTTGTTGCCGATTCTGTTGCTGATGTGGTACTTCAGGGTATGGAACTTTTTATTCCATCCTCTGTGTGCCCATCGGAGGCAAATCCCAGCCATGGTTTGGTCGCTCCTGTAAAATAGCATCACGCTATAAGCAGGAGTGCTACCGGGCCTGGGCTGACGCATCAACGTCTCGTGATGTAAACACCAGCGCACTTAAAAAGAAGTATAATTCCGCCTCCAGGTCCTTCAAAAGCCTCATTGCCAAGGCAAGGTCTGAGCTCATCGGCAGAATTGGCGAGAAACTAGTTCGCCTTCCTTCGGGAACCCGTGCATTCTGGTCTCTCGCCAAGGCTGTCCAAGGGAACTTCTGTCAGCCATCTCTTCCATTTCTGCACAGGGAGGACGACTCACTGGCCCATGCCGCAAAGGAGAAAGCCGATCTCTTGAGCTCTCTTTTTGCGTCCAACTCGAATCTAGATGACGGGGGGAACACACCGCCGACCATCCCGCGATGTGAGTGCTCCATGCCGGATGTACAGTTTATACAGTGCTCGATTCGCAAAGCACTCTTCTCCCTGGACGTCAGCAAGTCGAGTGGGCCCAATGGAGTCCCTCCCATTGTGCTGAAGACGTGTGCTCCGGAGTTGGCACCGGTTTTAACGCGTCTTTTCCGATACTTCTACTCCCAAGGCGTAGTCCCGAATTCATAGAAGACATCTTTGGTCCACCCGATCCCTAAAAAAGGCGACCGCTTAGACCCGTCCAACTACAGGCCTATTGCCATCACCTCCTTGTTCTCCAAAATAATAGAATCCATTATAAACTGCCAGCTCATGAGGTACCTTGAGGATCACCAGCTGATTAGTGACCGCCAGTACGGTTTTCGTCGAGGTGGATCAGCTGGTGATCTTCTAGTCTATCTGACTCATAGATGGGCGGAGGCAGTAGAGTCCAAGGGGGAGGCATTGGCCGTTAGTTGGACATAGCGAAGGCCTTCGATCGGGTCTGGCACAAAGCGCTTCTTTCGAAGCTTCCTTCCTATGGGCTTCCCGAGGAATTGTGTAAATGGATCACCAGTTTCCTTGCTGATCGGAGCATCAAGATCGTAGTAGACGGTGCATGCTCTGATTTCAAGCCTATCAACGCTGGTGTTCCACAAGGCTGCGTGCTATCACCAACGCTCTTTCTCCTGCATATCAATGATATGTTGCCGACTAGTAGCATTCATTGCTATGCAGACGACAGCACTGGTGATGCCTTATATACCAGCCGTGCCAATATTTGTCGGGAAAACGTCGCTGAGTACCGGGACAAACTTGTGTCTGAAGTCGAGTCTTTGCTTAACAAAGTTTCGGATTGGGGCCGACTAAATCTAGTCCAGTTCAATCCCCAGAAGACACAAGTTTGCGCGTTTACCGCTAAAAAGAACCGCTTTGTCGTATCTCCTCAGTTTCAAGGCACTCCCCTTGCTGCCTCAGCTAGTATCGGAATCTTTGGCGTCGAAATATCGAATAGTGTGCAGTTTCGTGGTCACTTCGAAGAGAAGGCCAAATTGACCTCAAAAAGCTTGGCGTGCTCAGCAGAGCGAGACAGTATTTCATGCCGGCACATCGCTTGCAACTTTACAAAGCGCAAGTTCGGCCCCACATGGAATACTGTTCTCATCTCTGGGCCGGGGCACCCCAGTGCCAGCTCTTTCCACTTGACCGCATCCAGCGCGGAGTGGTTCGAATCGTCGACGACCGAGTTCTTTCTGTTCGCCTCGATACAATGGTACTGCGTAGAGATGTTGCATCTCTTTGCGTATTTTATCGCATCTATCACGGGGAGTGCTCTGAGGAATTGTTCGGACTAATTCCAGCCGCTCAATTTCACCATCGCACATCGCGACAAAACTCGTGTTACCATCCATACCATCTGGATGATTGGCGGTCCACCACTGTGCGATTTAGAAGATGTTTTCTCCCTCGCACAACTTCCTTGTGGAATCAATTACCACCAGCGAATTTTCCGGACTGATACGACTTAGGAACCTTCAAGAAATGAGCTTACACCTTTCTAAAAGGCCGGCAACGCATCTGCAATTCCCCTGGTGTTGTGGTTGTTCATGGGTGGCGGTAGTCACTTACCATCAGGTGAGCCGCATGCTCGTTTGCCCCTCTTCTATAAAAAAAAGTCAACCAAAATTAGCTAAAACAAAATTAGGCTAAGTAGAGATAAACATATGGGAGATAGTGCAGCAAAAATAAACTGTAATGAGAAAAAAGTTAACGAAGTTCGAATATATATATATATATATGTGTGTGTGTGTGAGTGTGTGTAAAAGGTATACTATACAATAATACAAATGTGCGTATAATATTTATATGTATTGTGTTTATATGTAGTTTATGCATGTATATGTATTTATATATGTCTATGTATGTGGGTGTATATGTATATTTATATGTATATACAATAAGTTTTCTTTTAGCGCTTTCTATTTTGATTACTGCTGCACTGCCTCTTGTTTATATATCTCTGTTTAGCCTAGTTTAGATTGACTGGGAGAGAATGCCCTATGGCATTAAGTCCGCCATAGTACAACTTTGTGCATGAAAGATTAAATAAATAAATAATATAAATATAGTAATACAGACGTACACAAATACATAAATTTATATATATATATATATATATATATATATATATATATATATATATATATATATATATATATATATATATATAATAAGTAATAAGTTGCCGTGTAGTGGCGGTTAAGAATATCCACTACCCCATATCTTCCCGTGGGTGTCGTAAAAGGCGACAAAGGGAAACAGGCAGGAGATGGGCAGCAGCATCTTCCTGGTAACGGTAAATACAATAAAAAACTGCGGTTGCCAACCCGCTCGCCAAGCGTGGCAACTATGGCAATGTACCCCCCATAATGAAAGTTACGAAGAGACGGCCCCCAGTCCCCGGCGGCCCCGCTATTCCTGGCTACGGTGGCGACCATGGTAACGGCGGGGCAGGGGGTGCTAAGAATCTCCGGTGGAGGTTCGGTTGCCACCTACAACGACTCGACCTGGCAACATACAACGCACGCACCCTGAGGACTGACGAGAAGATTGTGGAGCTGGAAGAAGAGATAGACAAGTTACGCTGGCATATTATAGGATTATCCGAAGTCCGAAGAGAGGGGGAGGACACGGTAATCCTCGAATCCGGCAACTTGCTCTATTACCGGGAGGGCGACCATCTGTCCCAAGGAGGTGTCGGATTTATCGTCCACAAGTCTCTCGTTAACAACGTTGTAAAGATTGAGAGTGTGTCGACGAGGGTTGCGTACCTTATACTCAGAATCACCAAACGGTATTCGCTGAAGGTCATACAGGTTTACGCACCAACCTCGGCACACCCCGATCAGGAGGTGGAGGAAATGTATGAGGATATCTCTAGAGCCATGCATTCCTCCAAAACCCAATATACGGTGTAAATGGGAGACTTCAATGCAAAACTAGGCACAAGAGAGAACGGTGAGCTGAAAGTGGGGAAATTTGGAATAGGGCAACGGAACCCAAGGGGCCAGCAGTTGGCCGACTTCATGGAGAAAGAGGGACTCTTTATGATGAACTCTTTCTTCCAGAAGCGGCCCCACAGGAAGTGGACCTGGTCGAGCCCCGACGGTTCGACAAAAAATGAGATTGACTTCATTATGACGACCAGACGACAACTGTTCAGTGATGTCTCAGTGATCGCGAGGGTGAAAACCGGCAGCGATCACCGAATGGTTAGAGGCACACTGAACCTAAACGTTAAGTTGGAGAGGTCTCGTCCAATGAAGTCAACGCTCCGTCCCCCTCGTGCTCTAATCCAAAGTCCCGAAACCTTTCAGCTCGAGTTGCAAAATCGTTTTCAGTGCCTAGAAGACTGCAATGAAGTGGACGATTTGAATGACAAGCTCGTGGAAACTGTCCATGCGGTCGGAGCTAAGTTCTGCAAGACCCGCCGCAGAAGAACACAAAAACTCTCCGATCACACTCTTAATCTCATGGCTGTTAGACGGGAGATGAAGCTACATTCTTCAACAGATTTGACAGCATACAGGCAACTGAACAGACAGATCTCCAAATGCATGCGGCGGGACTTACGCAACTTTAATACAGCTCGTATTGAAGAAGCGATCGAGCGGAACCAAGGCTCCAAAGTCTTTGCCAGAGATCTGTCTGCCAGAAAGAGCCAACTGTCAAAGCTGAAGACCGAATGTGGCAGCATCGTTTCCGGGGCACCTGAGATTTTGAGTGAGATTGAGAGGTTCTATGGGCAGCTGTACACGTCATCGTTGGAGCCACACGCAAGTGTGAGTAACGATCCAAGAGCGAGTCTTATCCGACATTATTCCGATGATATCCCGGACGTCAGTCTGAGCGAGATTAGAATGGCTCTCCAGCACCTTAAAAACGGCAAGGCCCCAGGCCAGGATGGAATTACAGCGGAGCTTCTGAAAGCGGGTGGAAAACCGGTACTTGAAGTCCTTCAGAAGCTCTTTAATTCCGTCCTCCATGGTGGCATTACACCGGAGGCGTGGAGCAGAAGTGCGGTGGTCTTGTTCTTCAAGAAAGGCGACAACGCTCTCTTGAAGAACTACAGACCGATTTCCCTTCTGAGCCGCGTCTACGTGCTGTTTTCTAGAGTTTACGAATTTTACGAATTACGAATCGTCTCGCGCGCAGACTTGACGACTTCCAGCCTCCCGAACAAGCCGGTTTCCGAAAAGGCTTTAGCACCATAGACCACATACATACCCTTCGGCAAATTGTACAGAAGTCCGAGGAGTACAATTTGCCACTATGTCTGGCGTATGTGGACTATGAGAAAGCCTTTGATTCCGTCGAAATTTGGGCGGTGCTGCAGTCCCTTCAGCGATGCCAAGTTGACTGTCGGTATATCGAAGTGTTGAAGTGCTTGTACAGTAGGGCTACGATGGCTATCCGAGTACAGAACCAGAGTACGAAACCTATCCAATTGCAGAGAGGTGTAAGACAGGGTGACGTCATATCCCCGAAACTCTTCACCGCTGCGTTGGAAGACGTTTTCAAGCTTCTGGACTGGAAAGGATACGGTATCTACATCAATGGCGAGTACATCACTCACCTTCGATTTGCCGACGATATAGTCCTTATGGCAGAATCGCTGGAGGACCTAAGCACTATGCTCAATGACCTCAATAGTGTTTCCCAACGGATAGGTCTTAAGATGAACATGGACAAAACAAAGATCATGTTTAATGTCCATGTCACACCTATGCCGGTAGTTGTTGGGAACACTAAGCTCGAAGTTGTTGACGAGTATGTTTACCTGGGACAAATAGTCCGACTAGGTAAGTCCAACTTCGACCGAGAGGTCAATCGACGGATTCAACTCGGTTGGGCAGCGTTCGGGAAATTACGGCACATCTTCTCGTCAGGTATACCTCAAAACTTGAAAACGAGACTGTACACCCAGTGCTTGTTGCCAGTGATGACATACGGAACTGAGACGTGGTCCTTCACTGCTGGCCGGATGAGGAAGCTCAAGGTCGCTCAGCGAGCTATGGAGAGGGCTATGCTCGGAGTTTCTCTGCGTGATAAACTCAGAAATGAGGATATCCGCAGTAGAACCAGAGTGACCGACATAGCCCAACGGATTAGTAAGCTGAAGTGGCAATGGGCCGGCCATATAGCTCGAAGAACCGACAACCGATGGGGAAGAAAGGTTCTCGAGTGGCAGCCTCGTACCGGCAGGCGAAGTGTAGGGCGTCCCCCCACTAGATGGAGTGACGACCTGGTAAGATGTGCAGGAAGTCGATGGATGCAGGTGGCCCAGGACCGTGCTTTGTGGCATTCTTTGGGGGAGGCCTATGTTCAGCAGTGGACTTGTGAAGGGCTGTAATGATGATGATGATGATATAATAAGTGACGATATATGTAATAATTTATTAGGAAAATGTTAATTCACACTTGCAATGCTTTTCTAAAATTTTCACGAACTTAGTTTTAAGAATTCGCGTTATTTTATTCTATTCGTTTTTCTAAATTTGACTGGTTTAACTATAGATTTACATCATAACTGCTGTATATAGTTCCCATTTGTTTTACTTTTACAACTGTCGTAAATGCCGACTAATGGGACACTGGATTTGTGATTGTGCAGACTTTGGGCTAGTCACCTATCACTTCATTCACATTTTCCATCTCAGCCCAATTCTTTTTGGCTAGACGTGATCCAAGTAGACCGCTGCCTTCTTTGATTCTATCTAACCCACGAGAATTACAGGCCAGATGTTCTTCAAAGGTCCAAGAAAACATTAAAAGTGTATTTTTGTGCAGTAATAACAAGAAATAGAAGACATATCAAGAACTTCTAAGTGATCTAATAATGTCTTACCATACCTTAGGTGGAAGTTCTTGGTACAGACGCAGAAGTAGCTGGCCAAGGTGTGGGCAAGCTTCTACTAGATGCTGCTCTCAATCACGCTGAAGAATTAGGTTATCCCATAGCACAGGTCATAGCGGTCAACCATTATGCGTAAGTGTAAATCATTTATTATTCTTTTATTTTAAAACGTTTCTAGTAATGTAATAAGTTTACCTTAGTTTAAAAACGTTGAAGAGCGAGGAGGTTGGTTCTTCTTCCTCTTCACCTTAGCCAGCCACTGCTGAAAATTACCCTCTCATCTCATCGCTGGAAGTATTATCGCAATCGTCATCCTTCAGTGATCTATTTAGTATAGCTGAACTGTTTTTATTTATAAGTTATGTTTTATTATTGTCCTTAACTTGCCACCTGCCAACATCTTTATTTATTCCATTTTTCGTTGGGTTGACTGGTAGAGAATGCCATCGGGCATTAAGTCCGCCCTTTGTGACCCCTGGTTGATGTATTGCAATAAAAGACAAAAAAATAAATAAATAAAATCAACGAACATGTATGTGCTGTTATATTGATATTAAAGAAGTGAGAGAGGTGTGTCAGGATCGTGCCAAATGAAAGTTCGTAGTCTCTGCCTACTCCTTAGGGTGACAGAGGTGAGTATTTGTTATGTATTACAGACAAATTATGTAGTTTCTTGAAGTTTATCATACTGCCAATTTCTTAGAGCAAGTAAAAGCATAATATGTATTACTTTGAGGCCAATGTCAAACACTTAATAGTCTGTGGTCGAACAGTCTTACGGAGTAAATATTGTCTCCAAAGAATTTTAAAACGTTGCCAACAAATAATTATTGACAGATTGACTAATTAGGCCTTGAAATAAGCTGTGAATTTTGTGTGATTTCAAATGTTTCATTTTCAATAGCTTGTCTAGTGTATGTCAAGGCCAAAAGGCGTTTTATTTTAAATTTGGATATATTAAAGTGCAGTTAAAGTAAAATGCAGCTTGCCATATATACAAAGTCAAAATGAAATGAATGACGGTCAAATTTCGGCCATGGATGACCACTAGTCCTAATAAATATATTTTACTATCATCAAGTTCGTCGCCAGCCCGGATGGCGATGGCCCGGAGGGTAGGGGAGCAAGTTGATATATGTATTAAGGATGGGAAAGTGTAGGTACACGAGCACATGCAATTTTACACTACTTTGTTAGTCTTACCTCTACTTCGATTGTTATAAAATCAGTACAAATTTAAATATGTAAAGCCATGAGTTCTTGACTGTACAATAAATAAGACTGGCTGCTTTGCATTTGACTACATTCTTTTTGATTCTCTAGCCCCCCCCCCCCCCCCCCCCTTTGGCAACGCCCGTGATTATTATTCTAGTTATTATGATAGAAAGAGACTTTTCTATCATCATTATTAACGTAGACTATCCAAATCGTCTTCTGAAAATAAGCTTCAACCACTGACTGCCTTTGTACATACATCATAGGTTTATATTATGTCTTTTGTGATTGTAGTTCTAAAATCTGTAAGAAATGCGGAATGAAGCTAGAATGGTCTATGAACTACGAATACTTCGTCGATAGAGCTGGACAACGAGTGTTCTTCCCTCGTCGACCACACCAGGTTGTCTGCGTTTATTCAAAGTTCTTCGATCCGTCAAAGAAGAAAAAGGAGCCTTGTAAGCCACAATACTTCTGAGATTGTTAACTGTATATTAATCGCAGTTTATTCTGTTTTGGATATATGTGATAAATGTATACAACAAAATGTTTTTTCTTCTTTTCATTTAGAGCTCCAAAAATCAAAGTTGGTATCAGAGATTATTTGTCAACTAATTTACGCTTTTATAGATGCAGGTGACTCGGGACTTTGCTTTGTGGCATTCCTTGAGGGACGCTTATGCTTAAAAGTGGACTTGTGATGACGTTGATGATGATGCTGATAACGCTTTTAACCTATGTATGCAATGGTCTTTTCTGTCCGCCTCAGCATCCACATACATATACATCAATTATAATAGCCACAAATAGAGTTTATAAATAGATAGCAAAGTTTATAAGTAGATACTAGTTGGTAGGAGTCCTTTTAGCCTTGGAGTACAATATAATATAAGCTCTATTTAGTATCCAGTACAGCTCATTTTATAAATTCATCTATAATGATTTGTAAGGTGTTGCCGTTGTTTAAATCGGTCAGTTCATTTATTAAATTAAACACATCCGTGTTATTTTAACGATGGGAAGGTGTTATTAATAAAACACATTAATAATAACTCGTATAATACAAATATTAATCAGGTATATATTTACATCAAGTTATGGAGTGATACAAAACTTCAACCCGTTGTATCTTATAATGACATTAATAAGCCACTAAAAATATTTATAGAGTTATAAAACATCTAAGAGTAGTGTCATCATAAAACATAAATGATTTTAATGGCATTCATACAAAGCTCATAACATAGAATTTCTTAAGTTGTTAGATTTAACACCGGGCTGCAAATTAGACCAGAATAAGAGTGGCGTTATTTTCGACATCAAGGAAAGCTTCCTTATTTTATTTATATATCTGATTTATCAACCAACAGAAAAAATTTAGTAATCAAATAAATTATAACATGACTGAACATAAAAGTGAAATAATAGATCTATTTTATTCATACTAGTTTATTTTATCCTATGAATTTTTATCTATTGATTGGAAATATTAACCGTTAATATTTATCAAAATTCGAATGTAATTTTGATATACTTGAAAGGTTTGATAAAAAAAAAAATAAGAATAGGAGTGGTTATTTCAGACATGGTAAAGCTCCCTTATTTCATATGATCATAATTTACTGAAGAATATTACGGGTGTAAGCATTTATATCACAATTTTAATGTAATGTGATGATTGAAAAGTCAGAAGATAATGGTTATTAAAAGTTGTTACAAAGACCTAAAATCTAGATATCGATTTAGATCAAGATAAGAGTGAGGTTATTTTGGACATGGTAAAGCTCTCTTATTTTGTGACTTAAAGTATGGGCGAATATACTTATCGAAATACTAATGCACTGTAGGTTAAGGTTGTTAAGATTAGTTATTAAAACCTAGAATCCTCATAAAACAAATGCGATCAGGATAAGTGAGTGGTTATTTTAGAAACGGTAAAGCTATCCTCCTTATTTCACACGAACGCATTATGTTACAGATATAAATAAAGCAAATAAATATCCGTGAAATTCGAAATTCTTTTCTACACTTCAAAAGTAGTAAAAAATTTTGAGATTTTGATATGAAAAAACATTAAAAAGTTATTATTAATAACAAAGAGATATATAAAGTTTATGTAGAAAGTATTAGTTACATTCATTGTATAAATATTAATATGCGTAATTTATTTAATATAAAGAGAGGTATATACCATCTATTTACTGAAGATCGTAAAGGTGAGAAAATTAAAGAAGAAGCAAGATTTATACCCACTTCAACAATGAACATAGAATTACATAAATTTTTCGATTTAGTGTTTCTTATAATGTCGTAAATACTGCAAACATCGCACTGCGTGCCTTTTAATAGCCCCTAAATGTAAAATAAATTAAAAAAAAACTAAAACAACATAATAATAAGGAATTGTTTAAAAATAACCATTAGTAATGATAACTTCGTAATCGATATTAGAATGTTACCACTAGGAGATATATTTGGCCCCAACAACTATAAAAACACGTATCGTAATATAGTCTTTATGCTAAAGTGCTAAAAATTAATTCCTTTTAGCGTGCCCCCAGTGTGAGCCTCCTTCTTTGCCACCTTTTTTGCCATACTCCGAATGATTCTCGTGGTGTTCTTCGTGGCCTTTCTTGCCATTGTATCCCTTGTGATCAGCGTCGACATGACCCTTATTGCTGTAAATGAAATTAAAATTGAACAATTAAGGAAATACTTCGGTTTATAATTAAAAGTGGAAACACATTGACACATCACATAGACACATCTACATATATCCTCGTTTGTGAATCAGAATGCAGATGCGTTGTCAGCCATGAGGACTAAGATGGAATGCCTCGTTTTCTGTAAAGCTAGTTTCCGGTTCTCTACACTCACCATACGAAACACAACAGCATTAAGCTGCTATTTTACGCTGGTATTCTGTGAGAGCGTGGTCCTTCCCCGGTCGAGCCGCTCCATTCGTGCTACAACTATTGAATTATTACAGCTGCAACATGGCTCTACCACGTGTAAACGTTTGTAAAGTAAAAATATAAGTTAAAGAGACGGTTATATTCAGAATAATAAAATAAAATTGCCTTAACCACTCTATCAACAGTCCAATGTTGGACAAGGCTCTTTCCCGTAAAAGGAGGCGCTTGAGAACGGCGGGCTGAAATTAAACGTGGTGAAGGCGGAGTATATGGCCTGCTACAGCACAGATCTGATGTCTCTCCGTATAGGCTACGACACCGTCGAGCGCACGGACAACTTCAGATACCTCGGATCTGCGCTTGATGCGTCCGGGGACATCGATCGCGACATCAAGGCCCGTATATCAGCGGCTTGGGTGAAATGGCGCGAGGTGACGGGTGTCATTTATGACCCCAAAATAGTATAGAAAAGTATAGAATATTTTTTATTCAATATAGATCACATGTGTAATTCTTATTGAAAGTCATTTTTTTACTTTACCAATGGTCAAAAAAAACCTCTGTCCTGGGAAGAACCAGCAAGAAACCCAGCGGGACTTTTTCTTAAAGCATATATTACATTAATGGTTGGTACAAAATTTATTTTAGAATCAGCTTGGAAGCGATCAACTCATTCCCAGGAGTTACTATACTATATATTCATTTATACTATAATAACCCTTTTTATACAGTTTCAACTTAATAAAACATTTAAACTTGTTAATAGAGAAAGCCTGTACACTTTCCGGGCCCTTGTAATAGCGTATACATTGCCCCAAGAACGAATTACTGAATCTATGGAGTCGAGAAACTGGTATCAATAGCTTGTGCTTGTTCCTAGTGTTTACAGAATGTATATCAAACCCCAAAATGCCGGTCAAGCTGAAGGGACAGGTCTATAAGACCATCATAAGGCTTGTCCTTACGTACGGCAGTGAGGCTTGGCCGGTGCTGGAGCGACACCGGCAGTTGTTGCATGTCACGGAGATGACCATGCTGCGGTGGATGTGTGGCGTCACGCGGAAAGACCGTGTACGGAATACATACATCCGCGGCAGCCTCCATGTCCGTGACATTGCTAACAAGCTGCAGGAAAGTCGCCTCCGCTGGTACGGCCACGTCTTACGACGATCGGTAAGCTACGTGGGAAACAAATGCCTGAACATGACCCTACCTGGTACCAGGAGTAGAGGACGGCCCAAGAAACGCTGGCTTGATGTCGTGCAGGATGACATGCGCGCCAATGAGCTAGTTGCGAGGGACGCCAAAGAGCGGGCAAAATGGAGGAGGAAGTGTAAGAAAGCGGACCCTGGGTTCTTCCGCGCTGGGCGGGATGAACAACCGGGATAAACGATAAAGAAGAAGAAGAGTCAGTCCAGTGGTACTTAAATTTGGTTAGAATATTACATTGATCGCCGCCTAACAGATGCTACAATCTTCAACTAATACTTTAATAGCCCGTCCCCACTTGTGTTTTGTTCACATTCACCCGACAACGACTTTTTTGGTTTGAATATTTTTATCGCATAGCACGCAAGCGCCGCATATGCTAGCTTGTGAATTAGCTGGCACGACGTTGTTCTCACTTATTGTCTGGTCGATATTTGTTTCCGATGCCGGCTTCCATGATTAATGCAGAGAACTTACATTCATCACTGGATAACTTCAAAGTGTTGTTCTATTAGTCTCTTGCTGTAAGCAGAGTGTTTCGTAAACCGATTAGAACCGGATTCGACATCTGACTAATAAAAACGGATGGTATGTAAATGATAGGTGCTTATTGTAACCATTTCTAGTACCTTTCAAAAATATAAATATAAACGGACGATTTTTTATTCAAGAGTTTTTGTATTATGATTATTTATCAATTATGAGAAAGAAATACTTCGGTAGTTAGGACACTTAGAGACAATAAAAAAGGAAAGAGTGAAAAATCAAACTTATGTTGCGGAAATGAATAGCAAAGTCGACGGCCTTTGTAAAGGATGGCCTAGACTGAAGTTTATTGACCAAATTGGCGATATATTTGGAGATGAGCCAAGTTAAGTCGAATTAATTACCCTTAACCAACAAAACAGTATGCGTAGATACGAGTATATGGATGTAAAATAAGTGAAAGACGTGTCACAGGTGTGTAAGGATCGCGCCAAATGTAAGTCAGTAATCTCTACCTACACTTCTGGGCGACTGGCATGATAGTTTATGTTATTATGTTATGTATTGATTTATTGGTCGCCGTAGATATTTCGTTATTGTTGACGTCGTTATTGTTTATCATTTCTAGTGTGTAACGAAATTCCATAATCATCATCATCATCATTTCAGCCTTTCATAAGTTCACTGCTGAACATAGGCCTCCCCCAAGGAATGCCACAAAGCACGGTCCTGAGTCACCTGCATCCATCAACTTCCTGCATGTCTTACCAGGTCGTCACTCCATCTCGTGGGGGGCGCCTTACACTTCGCCTACCGATACGAGGCTGCCACTCGAGAACCTTCCTTTCCCATCGGTTGTCGGTTCTTCGAGCTATATGGCCGGCCCACTGCCACTTTAGCTTACTAATCCGTTGGGCTATGTCGGTTACTCTGGTTCTACTGCGGATATCCTCATTTCTAAGCTTATCACGAAGAGTAACCCCGAGCATAGCCCTCTCCATAGCTCGCTGAGCGATTTTGAGCTTCCTCATTCGGGCAGCAGTGAAGGACCACGTCTCAGATCCCTAAGTCATTACTGGCAACCCGCACTGGTTGTACGATTTCGTTTTAAGGTGAGGTATGTCTAACGAGAAGATGTGTCGTAGTTTCCCGAACGCTGCCCAGCCAAAATGAATAATAGTTATTATTGCTGCCCAGAATTGCATAATAGTTATTATTAATGTTATATTTACAATAGTATTCTGTTTGCCGGTAATATCAAAATATCTACTAATCTTCGGAATGGCTGAACCGATAAAAGGAAACGAACAGATTACAAACTAGAGATGGGCATTGCTGTTGCTTTAACGCTATGATGTAACCAGTTCATTTATTTTAAAAAATCCTGTTGCAACAGTAGGTCTCTTCTGCAACAGGTTTCTAATAACCACATAATCTTAATTCGTTGTTTAAGAAATGTTAGTCGTTACTTGGTAGCTAACTATTTCGTTATGAAACTAAAGCAATGAGAAAACGTTGGTGGGCAGTTAGCAAGCAAGTTAAATAAATAATTATTTACAGTATTATATACCGACATTTTTATTTTTTTGAAATTTGAAAATATCAATAGGCGACGTAAAACAAAACACGGGCCGCCGACGTACCGGACATTGGCAAACCTTTTCGGTTGAAAGTTCTGTCCTTATATCATTAACCGATTTTAAAGAGTTGGTAGCAGTGCCAACGCATTCAATCCGGCTAGCATGGGCTGGGGACAATAATTTTATCCCCCGATTATATCCACTGACAAGAGATAAAATTATCTTCTCCCTACGCCAAAGCACGGCAGCGGGGAGAAGTATATCCCCGTTTGACTTAACGAGTAGACATATATCCCACATCCGTAAGCATGGAGCCAAATTAAAGATAAAAAAATACGCTTTTTGACATTTGAAAGGGACGATCCTAGTTCATTGGACCCACGGATTTAAGTTTATATTCATACGAAAAAATCTATCTAAGTCTAAGCCTATCTCTTATTCTATCTACTGTGGATATTATATCCACCGGTGTGCCCATGCTCGAAGGGTGGATAAAACTAAGTGAGGGGATAAACATTTTCTATTTCCCCGCGATAAAGTTGTCGCCTGCCCATGCTAGCCCTGCAACAATTGGCGCAATTTATTGTGTAATAACATTTAGTTCTTGGACGTTACTAAAATAACCTATCCCGACGATATAACAGGTTACATTTTAATTTTCGATGCAACCTGTTGCAAACAGGTTGCAAAGAAACGGCTCATCTCTTTTACTAACATATAAAGAGAATTTCCACGAAGGGTCTAGGATATATTTTACCCAAAATCTAGTGTATTTATGTTGAAAAAAAAACGCCACATTATTGGATCCCGAACAGGCAAAGCCGATGCAGGTTGCTAGTTTCAAAAAAGTTGTATTTTAAATGGAACTAGAACATTCATTGAATTCCCTTGCCATAATTCTTAAAACGACAAACATAATAATTTTGTAACAGGTCATCATTATCATAGAACATTTTTTGGCCAATTTCACATTGGTCTATTAGTATACGTAGTGATTTTACGTGGTAGAGCCATATTGCAGCTATATTACTAGTAGAGTTGTATCACGAATGGTTCGGCTCTACCGGGGAGGGACCACGCTCTCACAGAAAACCAGCGTAAAATAGCAGCATAACGCTGCTGTGTTTTGTATGGTGAGTGTAGAGAACCGGAGACCCTTTTTTACTGGAAACGAGACATTCCATCTTAGTCATCACGGGTGACAACGCATCTGCATTTTGATTTGTAATCGAGGATAGATGTAGATGTCTATGGACCACAGCAACCACTTACTATCAGGTGGACTATGTGCTCGTTTGTCTCCCTTATTCTATTAATAAGTATTAAAAAAGGTAGGAGATTTTATTAAGGTCCTCAGCATACATTACATGGTGTATAAGAAAGTCTTTGGCTAGATGTCAAAGATATTTCATAAATAGTTTTATGAATGTTTAGGAATTTAGCTCTGAAAAACTCAAAACTCCTCAAAAATATTCCTATACTTTTCTGACTGACCATGTGATGGAAAACAGCGACGTAAAACATCGCGAGAAAACGTGCACGCACGTCTGAGAAGTGAAAATATTTGGAGGGAAAGTGAACTTTACTTCAATTCACTTGTAACGGTACTCGTGACGAAGTATTTCATGCTTTCATAAATAAGAGGAAGCACGTGGTAGAGTAACGATGCAGCTATGTTATGGTTTAAGCACGTAGAGGTCGGCTCGACCGGGGGAAGACCACGCTCTCACAGAATATCAACGTAAAACAGCAGCTTAATGCTGCTGTGTTTCGTAAGGTGAGTGTAAAGTAACGGCCCTCTTTACTGGAAATGAGGCATTCCATCTTAGTCCTCACAGGTGACAATGCATCTGCATTTTGATTGGTAATCGAGGATAGATGTAGATGTCTATGGGCCACAGCAACCACTTACCATCAGGTGAACTGTGCGCTCGTTTGCCACCCTCATCCTATATATATTTTATCATAATAACACCTAGAATACATTTTGATTCTTAATTGAAGATAAATGTAGAAAAAGAAAACAACGAAACGTGTGAAGCCTGGTATTTTACGTTGTTTTAGCAAGTCTAAAGTGAATTAACTAACCTGTATCCCTTCTTTCCGCGTTCTACAAAATCGTGTCCTGCGTTAATGTGGTGCGCCTTCTTCTTGCCGCTCTCGTTGCTGGCGTGCTTGGCATTGAATTTGCCGTATCGGTGGTGCTCACCACTCTTGTGGTAGTCGTCGTAGAACTTGTGCTCCTTGTGGAACTCGTCCTTGTGGTACTTGTTGTGGTATCCTATTAAGGATGCAAAGGTAATCAGATTTAAGTACCTTGAACTATACAAAAAATTGTAGAGCAGTGGCTAAGCACGTAGCTGCGGCGTTCCCGTGCCAAATGGTCGAAAATAATTCTTACGCGTCTGAATCTTAGTCTATGTGCAATTTATGTATATTAAAAACTTTTGGTACTGGGATCCTAAACGCGATTGATAATATTGAGGTCCCGGTTTCGAATCCGAGTTAGGGTTAAAATCTAATTTTAAGTTTTTTTACATTAGTTAACTTGCCCTTCAGAAAATATAGTGAAGCACACGATAATTTTTATTCACTATATTATATTCCATCCGCAGACAACAGCCTTGTACAATGTCCTTTATCTTGACGCATATTGTTTTTTTTATAGTATTAGTCAAAAGAATAACGACAGCGATAATCATTAACAAACTAAATTTTTTCTTATTGTACGCGTATTTGAAAACAATAGAATAACCTCAAAGGTCACATCACATTTGCCTTTGTAAGATAATGCCGAGTAAACGAGAAAAAATATGTTAGGTATGCCACTTCCATATATATATATATATATATATATATATATATATATATATATATATATATATATATATATGGAAGTGAAAAAATAAGATTTTAGAAAAGAAAATAATAAGATTTTTTGTTTCTTATGTATAAGGCACAATATTTCAGTTCATTGGCAGACCTAAAATTATTAAACCGTTACTAAGGGCTAGTAATCTTAAGCCGCGTAACCACCAAAAATGTTGACAACAGTTATGTTTCCAACTGTTTCCAACAAGCGTCTCCACCGAAGGAACAAATGTTGGCAACAAGCGTATTCCTTTGATGTTGCCGCCGAAAATGGAAACAAGTTTTGTTGGCAACTGTTGTGTTGGCAACAAAACTTTGGTGGAGACGCGGCTAAACGCTCACCAATTGGCGGTAGTTGTGACTGAGGTAAGGTATAACTTATTTCTTATCTCTTTTAAAAGAAATTAAAGACATAATCATCCCTCCTCTTACTGCCATATTCAATCTAAGTCTGTCGACTGGTATTTTTCCAGAAAACTGGAAGAAGGCATGCATTAAACCTATTTATAAAAATGAGCCTAAAGACACCCCGCAAAACTACCGTCCCATTTCTTTGCTGACAACATTCTCCAAATTACTTGAGAAGGTGGTTAACAAAACACTAACAAAGTTCATTGAATCGAATAAATTAATATCACCGAGGCAATTTGGCTTTAGAAGTGGAAAGTCAACAGATGATGCTGTCAACTTGTTAACATCTACAGTAGCCTTCCATTTGGATGCTCATAAAACCAGTATTGCTGTATTTTTGGACCTGTCGTGGGCTTTTGATACAGTCTCGATTCCAATACTCTTAGAGAAGTTGGAATCTCAATTTGGCGTAAGAGGCGTAGCAATTGATTGGTTTCGTGGCTACCTGACGGATAGAAAACAATGCGTTAGAGTCGGTGGCTTCGTCAGTGGTCAGGAAACAATTAATTTTGGAGTACCACAAGGCAGCATCCTTGGACCTATGCTTTTTATTATGTATATAAACGACATATTCGCTAATGTCGAAGGCGAAATAATTTGTTACGCAGACGATACAGTTTTAATATATGAAGGATCCACCTGGCCAGAGGTTTTTGGGAAGACTGAAGTGGGTATGAGACGAGTATCTGCGTGGCTGCGGAATAATCTTCTCACGCTGAACTCATTTAAAACTAACTACATTTGTTTTCACAAAACAGCAATTTCTGCACCTAGCCCAATACTCCAATTAAAACTGCACACCTGTGGACATGGCCGGAAACATTGTAGCTGTGTGGTATTGACTAAGACTGACGTGGCAAAAAACTTAGGTATCTTGATTGATCAAAATTTAAACTTCAAAGATCACATAATATTTCTTTCAGGACGAGTGGGAAAAATTATTAACATCATGAAACTGTTCCGACACTCAGCATCTATAGAAATTCTCCGGTCTGTATACTTTGCCCTATGTCAGTCCTTGATCACTTATTGCTTAACATCCTGGGGTACTGCCGCGAAAACATATTATACAACTAGAAAGAGCCCAATGATCAGTTCTTAAAACTATGCTAAAGAAACCCTTTAGATATCCAACATATAGGTTGCATCAGGAAAGTAAAGTCCTTTCTGTGCGTCAATTATACATTTTAAAATTAGCTCTCAAAGTCCATCAATCTGTAATTACATGCAAAGACTACAAAAAATTACTCATACGAAGAGTATTCAAGGTCTCCTTACCCAAAACCAATTTGTATTTTGCCAGACGTTTCAGTCCCTACATAGATTCAGTAATTTACAATAAAGTAGTCAGTGCTTGCGATATAAAACATTGCTCCGTAAAAGAAGCTAAAACAAAAATTGTTTCCTGGCTCGCTTCTTTAAATTATGACTCGACAGAAAAAATATTCTTACACCTAGCATAAAGGCAACTAGCATTATTATTAAGAAATGCAACGTTTTACTCTATCTCTTATTATACTTTGTTCATTTTATACTAGTTTTTAAAATTTAAATTTTGTGATTAAGTAAACCAAGCGAAAACTAAACATAAATAGTCAATGCTAAATAGGTACCCACGATACAGGATTACCTAGTGTGGGTACCAATGGATACTTCAATGAGTTGTAGTTGTTTTCTGTAAAATAAACATTTTTCTTCTTTTTTCTTTTTTTTTCATTTGTTACGCAGTGACGTCATAATTGAAAAGTTGCGAAGTTTTTCGGTTATTGGTTTATGTATATATTACGGATAATAGCCGAAGTGCGGATACACCGTGTAGCCGGCTAATACAAGGTGTAGTCGATTGCGGTTGATGTATCATAATTTATAAATTAGATTTAATTTATAAATTAGATCAATGTCAGCGGTTTTAACCGCATTTTTCCGTATTTTTTACAAATTTAACAGTACATCTAAAGGAGACGGTCCAAAATTATATGAAGTGTAGGCCGGCTTAGTTTTGTACTAGTATGCAAATAAATGAAAATAAAATATTAAACCACTTTTGATCGTTCAAATCCATGAATTTGTCTTTATTTTCACCAAAAAAGGTAACACTAATGGCGGATTGATGTCGTTTTGGTTTGACGTTAGCTGTTACTTCTGAAATAAACCCTTATCACCGATAGCCTATCAGGTAGATTTATTATGTAAAATGGCTAAAAACTAGTGAGAAAGGAGGGCAAAAAAAGTTGTAAATTTGATAAAAACATAAATAGTATATTAAAGATTGTGTATTTTAGTCTTAGAACAAGTAATGTTCTTATTGATATTTGCATATCATAAATGAACCGCGTCTTTTTACTGAAGGCGCCATCTTGTAAAACCATCAAAACTTGGGATTGCATTTTAATTTTTAGCAAATTATTTAGTTTGATTTATTCTCTAATTTTATTTTTAACAAAATCCCTGAATTTTCTCTTGTTCTGCCGACTTCCAAAAAGGAGACGGTACTCAATTCGACTGTATGTTTTTTTATGTTCTACCTCATAACTTTTTACTGGGTGAACAGATTTAGATGATTCTTTTTTATTTGACAGCTGGTACTTCTCATGTGAATTTCATCAAGGTCAGACCAATTGTTTTTTGAGTTTTTCTTAATAACTTATATTGAAGTCGGCTGTACAAAATTTTTAATTTTAAAATTGTTACGGTATAGTGTACATAGACTAGGCCAGAAATGGACCGTCTTAACTACTACTGGCCGCACCTAGTTCTAGCCGGCTAGAACTAGGTGTAACCGCACTTTAACTTTTATCCGTAACGTGTAGGTACACACAAAACAATGTGTCAGTGCTGCGTGTATTTTTATTTCTTTTTAATTCCTTTACTTTTACGAATATCCGTAGTTTGATATATCCATTTGTAACCTAATTCATATAAAATATGAGTAATATTTCAAAAGAAACAATAATCTCTTCACTTTTCTAACAAATTAACTCCGCCAGTTATGAAATCAGTCAAATATTTTACCTCATTCGTAAGTGGCGCCGCCCTGGTGTCAGAAAAAGCCTTCATTGACACCCGAGTTAAGCCGGTAAGAGTGCAAAGAGCGTAGGCTCATAATGTATTATTAGTTTTCAGCCATGATTGTGTTTTTACTGTATGTAGTTTAAGCGTAAACGTTTGTAGATCATTGAAACACAGTAGGAAATGCCGCCGTCTTTAAATTAATATCTACCCAGTGGTACCTATTTAGTGGTAACGTTGCATTCTATCTCAATCCACAGAGGGTGATAAAACAACTATCTCGATTCTCGGGTCATAGACGTTTATAGGCCAAAGCATTCACGTACTATCTGTGTACTGTCATGTCGTTTGTCATTAATATAAAATATTAATAACCTTTAATGACTACTGCGGTCCTACGTAATTTGTACTTTAGTAAAAATAGATGAATACTGCGTTGAATGGCGGCAATTTATCGCATTATCGCCGAGGTCAAGTCGTCAATGAAATGCGAACAAAAATAATTTTACGTAACAAATGCTCCGCTTTCACTTGACCGCAGTTACATTTTCCCGTGTAATGGCCGCGTACCTAATTTGTAATCACACGACTCGTGGAAATGGTTATCAACTGTTCATTGGATAATAATAATAATATTTTTTTATAGGATAGGGTGACAAACGAGCACACAGTCCACCTGATGGTAAGTGGTTGCTGTGGCCTACAGACATCTATCTACATTTATTCTCGTTTGCTAATCAAGATGCAGTTGCGTTGTCACCGGTGAGGACTAAGATGGAATGCCTCTTTTCCAGTAAAAGGGTCTCCGGTCACTCACCATCACACTCACCATCCGAAACACAGCAGCATTTAAGCTGCTATTTTACGCTGGTATTCTGTGAGAGCGTGGTCCTTCCCCGGTCGAGCCGACCCATTCGTGCTACAACTATACTACTAATATAGCTGCAGCATGGCTCTACCACGTATAGCCATCTGCGCAGGACAGGATTC